CATTTTTATTTAGCTCAGCCTACCCATGAGCAACTGATGTTTTTACAATTATTTAGATCTGACATTATTTGTGTGAAAAGTGTTTTGTAATTGTGTTCATATAGTTCCTGGGTTTGTTTCGGTATGTAGACTCCTAAATATTTTATAATGTCTACAGTAAGTTTAAATGGAATTTCTCTTTCTATCTCTTGCTGTTGGGCTTTGTTGGTAATATATAGAAATGCTGATGATTTATGTGGGTTTATTTTATAGCCTGCAACTTTGCTAAAGTTGTTATTATTTCAAGTAGTTTTTCACTTGATTCTCTCATATCATCTGCAAAGAGTGATAGCTTTGTTTCTTCTTTGCCTATTCTAATTCCTTCAATTTCTTTAGGGAAGCAATTCTTTTGGGGGTCAGGATAAAAGCCACTTTCCTTGGTTACTAGGATTAGTTCTGCCCCAGACTTGGAGAATAACAGTTAAAATAATCTAGCTTCTCCTTCCCAACAAGGATTATTTTATAAAGGACAATCACCAGAAAGCGAGCAAACGCACATCAGTGCAAGCAAGAATCCATGCAGATTAATTTAGGTGAGATTAGAAGGCTCTGATTTTACTAAAAGATCGAGAAATTAAGACAATAACCACTCACATTTATATAGAGAACTTTCTTCATAAAAACCCCATGAAGTGGATAGTAAAACAGCATTATTATAGACATTTTACAGATGTGGAAACTGCTGAAGCACAAGGTTTAGATGCCTTACCTATGATCACAGACTTGAACTTCAATTTTCTGACTTCAGTGCTCTTTCCATTATGTAACATTGCCTCCTACTAGTCATAAAGTTTGTTCTGGGCTTGGTTGTCAAAGAACAGATTGTTCTAGTCAATACGGAAGAGTTAGGAATGGTTTGTACATATATGTATATGTATATGTGTGTATGTATGTATATGTGTGTGTGTGTGTGTATATATATATATATATACACACATATATCCTCCCTCTCTCTATGTGTGTGCATATATGTATATGTGTGTAAATGTGTGTGTGTGATAGGGTCATAGATCAAGACCTGGAAAGGACCTTGAAGTCCTTTCTCAGTCCAATCTTCTCAGTTTGCAATTAAGGAAACTGAGGCCCAGGAAGGAAGTTAAGTAACTTGTCCACACAGACAGCATCAGACAGTATTTGACCCTGGTTCCCTCACTCCAGAGCCAATGCTGGATCAAAGGATTTAAAATTAAAAGGAACTTTAGAGATCATAGAACCATGGATGTGGAGCTGGAAGAAAGCTTCAAAGACAGCTAGCCCACCCCTCCATTTTACAGATGAGAAAAAAATTTAACCCTAGAGGGGTTAAATATTTGTCCAAAGTCATACAAGTAGTAAGTAGCACAAATGGGATTTGAATTTAGATCTATTGACACCAAATCCAGGGCTTTTCCTACTATTCTACACTGAATTAATTGATCTTAGAAACCTAGATGACTTCAACTAATTTTATTTTAATAAAAATATTTTAAATGTACCATTTTATATACTAATATTCCATAATCAGGACTACTAATTATTCAGTACCTCAAGCTATTATTCTATAGCTCTCCTTTTTTTTTCAGTGCCTAGTTCCAAAAGTCTCCACACCAGTGGTGTATGACTCAAAAAGAATGGGTCTATTAATGCATACATAAGGTTGCCTATGGGCTACATATCAACTTAGCGTTAAGATGTGATGTTATCTATATTTGATTATGTTTTTATTTATTTTGTTAAATATTTCTGAGATACATTTTAATCTGGTTTGGGCCAGAGTGTTTGACATCTCACCACTCTATTCCTGATGCCTCCACTTCCTCACCACTCAATCTTTTCTCAACCCCTTAGAATCTTATTTCTAACCCAACCACCTTACTGAAGCTGTTCTCTCCAAAGTCACCAATATTCTAACTGCTAGTCCAATAGCTTTTTTTGTAAACTTCTATCTCTTTGTCCTCTGCAGCACTTCATGGTCACCACTTACTTCTCCTATATACTCTTTCTGCCCCTGGTTTCCATAACATTACTATCTCCTGCTTCTCCTACATAAATGATTGTTCCCCTTTATTTCCTTTTGCTGGTTCATCATAACCCATCCACTAAGCATGAGTGTCTTTCCAAGGTTCTGCCTAGAGCCTCTACTGCCTCCATACTCTCATTGATTTCATCAGCTCCCACAGCTTTAATTATCATCTCTGCAGAAATGACTTCTAAATACATAGTAATCTCTAATCTCTCTTCTGAGCTCTAGTCCTTCATCACCAAGTTCCTACTGGACATCTCCATCTAAATACACCCTCAGCAACTCAAACTCAAAATGTCCCTCTAATCTAACCCAGTCCTTCCTCTAAACTTCCCTACCATTCTCTCAGTCACCCAGGTTCATAGCTTTGGAATAATCCTTTATGCTTCCCTCCCCATCCTTATACCCCCATATTGAATGAGTTGTCATATCTTGTTGATTCTGCCATAACATCCCTTGCATGTCCCCTTTTCTCCATATACAAGCCACTACCCTAATTTAGAACCTCAACAATTTCACCTGGCATATTATCATAGCCTCTTAATCTCCCTGATTCCTATTTCTCTCATTCTCAGTCTATCCTCCACAGAGCTACCAAAAATCATAGGTCTGACCATATCATTCCCCTTCTAAAAACTTTTCAATAAGCCCCTATTACCTTCCAATCAGTTTTTCCAGTCTTATTTCACATTGTTCCCTTTTGGATATTCCACATTCCAGCCAAACTGGGAAACTAGTTTTTGCTGAATTCAACATTCTTTCTCCCATCTTCATGTATTTTCACAAGCTATCCCCATGCCCATCCCACATCCAAACCTTTAAGCCTTGGATGCACTTTCTCTCAAAATTTTTGCCTGCCTGTCTTCAAACTTCAAATCAGATACCACCTCCTCTTTGAAGCCTTCCTTAATCCTTCTAGCTGTTAATGCTCTTTCCCTCCTCTCCTCAAATTACCTTTATTTACTGATCTGTATACATGTTTTATATTCCACTCCTACAGAACATAAATTCATTATGAGTAAGGATTGTTTTGTCTTTGTATCCCTAGCATCTAGCAGTGTCTTGAACTTTGTTTTGTCTGTACCTACGATTTTATCAGTGTAGGGATTTCCCAGTGAGTGAAGTCTTTTTACCTATGCAGATCAGCATCTGTTCTACAACTGTAGACTTAGAGTTGCCTAGGGGCACTGAGAGTTAGGCCAATAGTCACTAAATATTTATTAAACTGTTTCTATGTAACAGGCATAGTGCTTAGCAAAGGGATAAAAATAAGAAAAATATAGTCCTTTCTCAAAGAGGTTGAAGTCTAATGGGGGAAGACATCATGCAAAAGGAAGTTAAGAAGGGAGAGGAGAGGGGGGACCACTGGAGGGTAACTATCACAGGGACATTATGTTCATGAAGTCAAAACCAAGCAGCAGATGAAGAAGGTTAAGTGACTTGGCCAGTGTCATATGATACAGCCAGCATGCATCAGAGACAGGACTTGAATCCAAGTGGTCCTGACACAGACTCTGGTATGACCACACTGCCTCTTTGTGTTGAATATAATAGAAGTTAATGTTTGATGAGGGACAGCTAAGTGGCACAGAGGATAGAAAGCCAGTCCTGAAGTCAGAAAGACTCCTCTTCCTGAGTTCAAATCTGGCCTCACACACTTACTAATTGTGTGACCCTGGACAAGTCACTTAACCTTGTTATTTGCCTGTTTCCTCATCCGTAAAATGAGCTGGAGAAGGAAATAGCAAACCACTCCAGTATCTCTACAAAAACAAACAAACAAACAACAACAGCAACAACAACAACAACAGACAAGTGGGGTCAATAAAGAGTTGGACATGACTGAAAATGAATACACAAAAATGTTTGATGAATTCAAACTGAATTGAAATGAACAAAATACTCTTTCAGAAACAAAAGGCAACAAAGTCAGAAACCAGAATATTAGCCAATTACTGTCAGTCAATAAACATTTATTAGGTGCCTACTACATGCCAAGAATTGTCTTCAGCACTGGGAAATCGAAGAAAGATAAGGCAGTCCCTGCTCTCAAGGAGCTCACAATCTAATGCAGGAGACAACACTCCAACAACTATGTACTAACAAGCTCTATACAGGACAAATTAGAAATAATGAACAGAAAGAAAGCATCAGAAATAAGGGGGATCAGGAAAGCTGTTCTGTAAAAGGTGGGATTTACACTGGGACCTGAAGAAAAGCTAGGAGTTTAAACCTGAGGAGGAAAGCCTGAGGAGGGAAAGCGTTCCAAACATGGGGATGGCCAGGAAAAATGCCTAGAGCCTGGAGAAGGATGGAGTTTAGTGGATCTTAGATATCAAGGAGGGTTGTAAGGTGTAAGAAGACTAGAAAGCCAGAGGAAGGGCGCAGGTTACCAGGGCTTTGAACGCTTAACCATAAGAGTTTATATTTGATCCTGGAGGTGATAAGGAGCTACTACATTTTACTGAGGTGGGAGGGTAACATAGTCATATATGTCCTTTAGAAAAATTACTGACAGTTTAATGGAAAATGGACTAGAGTAGGGAGAGATTTGTAGCAGGGAGCCCAACTAGCAGACTGTTGCAGTAGTACAAGTTTTAGGTGCTGAGAGCCTGCAGCAGGATAGTAGTGTAAAAGGAAGGCAAGGGGACACATGCCAGAGATATTATGAAAGTAAAATTGACAGGCTTTATCAATAGATTGAATATGGGAAGTGAGTGAGAGTGAGGAGTGGAGGATGACACCTTCATTGTGAGCCTGGGGTACTGGCATGATGGTGGTGCCCTGAAAAGTAGTAGGTGCCCTCAACAGATAATGATTTCAGTTTTGGTCACATTGCATTCAAGATGTTTAGGACATCTAGTCTGAGATATCTAATAGGCAGTTAAAGACAGGAACTAGAGATCAGCAGAGAGATTAGGGCTGGGAAAGTAGATTTGAGAATCATTAGTATAGAGATGATACTTGAATTCATGGAAGCTGATGAGATCATTAAGTGAAATAGCACAGAGGGAAAAGAGAATTCAGAATCCTTGCATATACACAAAATTCTCTCAGAAATATCTAAAAATAAAAATTATTATATGAAAGATTTTTGTGTATATAATTATATAGAGATTATTTATGTGAGAGATTTTTGTACATGACAAAATAATATTTCAATAACTAACTTTGTACTAATGTGTCAAAGCTTTAACCAGAATGCTATTCTCAAAAGGGTTAGATTAACTGTTTGGCTGACCTCACCAGGCCAATAAGAACTATTTATTTATGGCCAAAATGGTTTCATAGTGGAGCTTAAAAATAAATGCTGTTTGAAACAAAAATCAACAGTAAATTTCAGTTAACAATCTTCTTTAAAAACATTTAGCAATGATAATCTGAATCAAGATAATAGCAATAGCATTCAACAACTTCACTACAGTTATAACTTTTCAAGTAACATGCAATTATTTACATTTGAGCCTAAAATATAGCAGAGGAAAATTAAAGAAATGAATCCTTTATGCAAATGCAAAATAAACTTAAAACTATTTCTAGAAAACCTACAGCCTAAATAGAAAATTATAAACTATCAAAAAAAGAAGAATAAAATCTATGGTAACAAATTTTATGTTATTACACCACTTAATTCAACTATGTAACTAAATTTTAAGTAAATAACTTTTCTGCTTCCTTTATTTTTTTTTTCCTGTCCATTTTAGAAACTGCAGCCCAGCCACCTTCTCGCATTTTTCTCATAGCTGCAAATTTCAATGCTGATCCTGGAGTTGTTAAGGATAAAGGTCTGTGATTCTAGAACAAAAATAAAATCACAAATATGTTTCTGTTTGATGAATGATAAGTCCAACTTTTAAAATCTGGTTTCTGAATTAAAACCCATAATTTTACCTTCTTTGGTGTTGTGACACTTTGATAAGAAGCTTGAGGATAACCCTTGTGTAGTTTTTGAAATGCGTCTTCATCTGAAACCATGCTCTTAAACAAAAGATAATGAAATAGAAATCAAAATTTCAAAAATGTTTCCTTTTTTGTGCTATCATAATCAGTATTAAATTTATTATATTATATTCTTAAAATTCTATTATATATTCACCTCAGAGATAATCTAGTTTAAAAACCCTCAAACCATAAATCTCATATTTTTAACACTTAAAGTTTGAATCTTATTCAATATATTCTAGAGAAGGTTGTATAACATAGATAAAACTGCATTATGTTTTATATTTCAGAAATATAGTCCATCAAAAATTGAGATAAATTATAACATAAGACTAAAACCATCAAAATGGGGGTACCTAAGCTGCTTTCCTGCATTATTCAAAACTTCTATATAATCAGCAAATCCCTCCTCCTTCCTTTTGGTCACAGAAAAAGAGTTATTCCTACTAATTAAAGCTAATCTCGCAATCTTTCCTTTTTTTCTTTTTCCCATTGCATTTTAAGGTTTACAAAGCACTTAAAAATTGTTCTGAATTTAACAAACACCGAATAAAACTAGCATTTCCATTTACAGATTAGAACAAGAAAAGATTTCACATGAAAATGGGAGTTTCCATTACATATAGCTTGTTTTTCCTTATATGCAGCTAGGTGGTACAGTGGATAGAGCACTGGGCTTGGAAGATCTGCGTTAAAATCTGGCCTCAGATACTTACTAGCTGTGTGATCTTAGGCAAATCCCTTAACCTCTATTTGCCTCACTTCCATCATATCCTTTAAGAAACCTTATTTAATTTCTGACATATGCATGGGAACTATCTGTTCAAAGAGTGCTGCGTTTTGTTCTACTAAACGCTTATTGGTGTCCTTCCCAAAATGTAGCTATCAGAATTAAATTACTCTAGATATAGTCCAACCAGGATGAGATTCCAAAGAATTGCCACCTTTCTTATTCTGACACCATGCATCAATTGATGCAGTTTATATCAGTTTTTTTAGCTGCCATGTTGCATTTTTAATTCATATTAAATCTGTATAATAAAGAGGTACATTATACCAAGATCCAACTGACTTTCAATATAATAATGATAGCTGTGTTATTAATAATGCTATAAATGCAAATAATTTTTTTAAAAATGCAGTACAAGAAATCCCATATCTTAGTAATATGTTTACCAAAAGGTCAATGTGATCTGAAGTATCTGAATTTGTATCAAATTCAAATAGCATTTTTCTTTTTCTAATTGTTCCTTCCTTGTATGGATTCTTCTTTTCACTCTGCAGTATTTTCATTTTTGTTGGTGTCTTCACAGTGTATGCCTTTACATAAGAAATGAAAAAATTACAATGATAAGTATATATATATATAACATGATAAGATTAAAATAACTTTTCCCAAAGGCAGTTTTTGTTCTCTGGTAATTAAAAAGTCTCTGTGCAAATATTTACCTAAAAAAAGAATTTATAGACAAAAATTTTCTCTTGATATATCTAGCAATGCAAGTTTTGAAAACTTCCTAGAAAAAGTTATCTTTCAATTAAGAAATATGGACTAAAAAACTTTAAAATTAACATGAAGTCATCATTGTAAAGAAGGAATCAGTGTGAATCTAATAACCACATTAAATATAAAAGGGAATTTTCAGGATATGAACCAGAAAGTGACAGTGAATACTGCCATGGGATGAAAAAATCAACTTCATCATATATTTTCTTTCTAAATTTTGCGAGGTAAGGATCTAGTCTTCAGTATTATGTAATGAATTCAAATATTAGGAAATATGGAAACTATTATCTTCATATATTAAAGAATCAATGTGCTTCCCTCAGGACTTAACATATCCAGAAAAATAGATTAAGCAGAGAATAACAATACATTACCAAATGTTTCTCTAGTGATCTGAAAAGTATAAAAACTAGAATTACTTTCAAGAAAAGATTTAGGTACTGGTTTATCATAGTATAAAGGTGAGACTCCTTCTTTAATCCAATCAATCAACTTAATGAAGTTTTAAATGTGTTATCAGATTGTTTGTTCCCTGTGATCTCTTTAAGTCAAAAAAGAAAATGATACGACTGCCCCAGAGGATCAATTGCACTTACTGAACCTATTCATAAAATAGTTCTTCAATGAACTCAATCCAGAGGAGTCTATTCCAGAAGTGAAAGATTTTACTCTTCTTCCACTAACCATATCTATCATTGGAGAGAAGGGACCAAAAGAAGACAACACAACCAGACCTGAGCAGAGATATACCAAGGACAAACACAGACAAATACAAATGCTGAAAGACAACTATCCAAGGGACAAAGCAGCTTTAAAGCTTGTGATCCCTTGAACCAGAAAAAAAAAAAAGACAACTTTGGAATCAAGAAAGTACTTCCAGTAATCAGGAATTATTAATTTATCCTTTGACATCATGGGTTGCCTTATGACAACAAGTGTGCCTCACTATCACCGCACTAAATTTAAATCCAATCTTCCTATGACTTTTGTGGTTACTTGTGAGAGAGTGTGCCCCCGGCTTTTTGGGGGCAATGTTTTGTGCCATCCAATTTTACTGTACTACTTTAGTAAATGTCATTTTCTAAAAGCTAATTAATCCTGGCTGATAATTAATGAGGAACCTACCATATCGAGGCACGTACACAACAAAATTAGAGGAACCCAGCCTCTCAGGATTATTCCTAGGATCCTAAGGGGAGAAGTAACATTCAATGCCCTCTGGGAAGCTAACTTTCCAGCAGTTGGGAGAACTGCGTGTTGGGGGAGGGGAGAGTTCTACAGTAGTTTATTATGTAATATATAATACATATTTAATGATTCAAAAAATTTAAAGTGAGCAACAGTTTTATTATACTTCAATTTCTGACCTTAAAACTATGCAATATGTTTTATATATAGAAGTACCTTATTTTAATATACTCATCATTTCCAAACAATACCATATTGACCCCAAATACAAAATAAGAGTTATTAAAGAAAATTAAAATGGTCAAGTAAGACTTGCTATCTACTATTGCATGAATTGTGAGCATATGGAGGATTCCATAGTAGACAAGCAGCTAGCTCCTTCTAAGACAAGTGACACCTCAGTAACAGATACTGCTTCTTCGTCAACTACTACTGCATACCTTTGATAAATGGTGGATCTCAAAAAGTCCAAGAAATAATGCCATTAAGGAAAAATCAGGTGGATGGACTAAATAGGGGTGATGAAATCCCCTTAAATCCCTGTTGTTGTTATAATCCTGTAAAGACTTTTTTTGTCTTATTGTAGAAGAAAAGTAATGTGAAAAGGGTATTTGAATGGATTTCACCTTCTGAGATTCAGGTTCAATTCTCAGCTCTATCATTTAGTAGATGTGTGACATTAAATAAATCACTCAACCTGTTTCAAATGCATTTGCAAGTTGAGAAGAATACTATTTAGACTCATGAGGACCATAAGAGATACTGCATGTAAAGTGTTTGGGGCTCTATAAATGTAAACTAATATCATTATTTAGAAAACTAATTTTAAGTATCTCTGGTTTAAAGGGAGAGGCAACGAGGCTCATTTCACTACTCCAGATCACATGTTTTGTAAATAAGCATATTTAGTCTATGTTGATGTAAGTCATGGTAATCAATAACAGCTAAGATTTCCATGACAGAATGCATTTTAGTAATTTAAAATTTTTCTTGAAATGTAAGGTTACTTTAATATCAGGGTTATCATATTCAGGCCAATGTAAAAAACTGAATCTGAGACTAAGCAATGTAGTTTACTAATTTTCATAAATTCAATTAATTATATAATATTATATTTAAATTGATGGGGATATTAAATGACTTGTCTAATACGTGAGAAGAAGCAAATAATAGAAACAAGGAACCAAAATGCTAATTTTTAAGTATCGTTCTAAAAAACAACAGCTGCATAGAAATATTGCATAGATATTAATCTTACCAACACCAGAGGATTTTTTAAAGTATCAAACATCTATAACATTGTTATCTTTTTGAAAAATTAAGCAACTAACCTTTAATGATGGTGTAGATAAGGATTTTTTGGCAGGGGTCCAAAAGGATTCTTCTTTTTCTTTTGATTGGACATGATCAACTGACATGAAATTTAATGATGCATTTTTTGAAGAATCTATTTCAGAATCAAATTTCCACTTGCTGGTTTCAGGAATTGCCAAAACAGACGTTTGTATTTTCTACATTGGATAATAAAAGCACTTAAAATCATCAGTAAAATTATTTCAAAGATGTATTTACTCAATTAAAAAAGGCAATTACTAAAAAGAATATCGAATTGGCACTCAGGAGGCCTGGGTTCAAGCTTGTATTCTATTATTGGCTTTTAGATTATGAGCAAATAACATCCAACTCTGAGGGGAGTAAAGGGTAAGAAGACTGTATAGGTAGGACGGGGCCAGATTACAAACACCTATAATCTAAAGTATATTCATTTCACTCACAAAGCAAGATAAATTTCATGGCCAGCCAAGACAGCAAAGAAAAAACCTTAATAATTTGAAGGTTGTAGGTAGTTGGGAAGCAAAAAAGCTTTGTGGAGGAGGCAATTGAGGTTAAGTGACTTGCCCAGCAATACCACTACTTGGTCTCTACCACCACCTCCTTTCCCAAAAGAAATCAAAGGAAGAAGAAAAGGACCCATCTGTACAAAAATATTTATAAAAGTGATTTTTGTAGAGGCGAAAAAAAATCCTGGAAATTAAGGGAATGCCATAATTTGGGTAATAGCTGAATAAATTATGACATATGAATGTAATGGAATACTCCTGTGTTGCAGAAATGATGACATTAGACAATTTCAGAGAAAAGTAGGTAGACTTATTTGAACTTCTGCAGAATACAATGAGTAAAGCCAACAGAATGATTTATACAACAATTTTGTAAAGGTGAACAACTTTAAGCTTATTAAGAACTCTGATCAACACAAAACTCAACCAACATTCCAGAAAAATGATGGAGCATAATACCCACCTCCTACAAAAGACATTGGATTCAGGGCGCCAAATGAGACATATATTTTTGGACATAGCCAATGTAGGAATGAATTTATTTGACCATGCATTTTTGTAATGAGTTATGTGGTTTCTTCCTTTTTTTTTTTAAGGAAATAAAATATACATTTGTTAACTTAAAAAATGAAAATTAAATTAAAAAAGTGTTTTATATTATTTCACATGCATAGTGGGTATCATATTGCTTGCCTTATCAATGCATGAGGGAGGGGCTTAAGTAAGGGAGAGAATTGAGAACTCAAATTTTAAAAAATGGATGTAAAAAAACCCATGATTTAGAAAAAAGGAATAGTTTGTATTATCTAAAACTTCTAGGTTTTTGTCCAAAAATAGCCCTCAGAAGATAGATTGGTTATTAAATCAATTATGAAAAATAGAATTTTACCTTATCCTTTTTCTCCTTGAGCAAGGCCATATTCTCTTTTGCTTCTCTTAAAAGTTTTTCCTATTAAAAATATTCTTAATAAGGATTCTACTTGAAACTTTTCAGTTTAAATAATTCTATTGTTATACTACTACCATAATCAGCATTTATCAAACACTCTCATGTGTATACTACATTAGAAGACTTATTCATAACCTCTAGAAGCTTATAACACAATGAAAGGCAAAAAGTGTTTGATCTGTTCTTTCTACTCAAGTAAAAAAATGGCCCCACACAGCACCAACTCTCAACAGTTATTTCTTTTCAAAAAGTTGCATCTCAATAGAAGTAGTACAAAATCTGGAAAATAATTCAGCCAAATAACAGGCACTGCTTTTAAGCTGTGTAGCACTATATCTATTTTTTATGTTTACAGCTTTGCCAAACTGTCCTAATAACACTTATGCTCCTAATTTCTGCCATGAAATAAAAATCACCAACATATAAAGTAATTACTATTCACACTTGTTATCAAAACTGTACATTGAATACAATATTATCTTTAGGCTAGAAGCACCATTCTCCCCCAGCAACAAATCTTGGAAGGGACAGAGAGCCAGTCTCATACTCTTTTCCAATACTAGATAGCAATAATAGACAGGAGTGTACTGGAGCCACATGAGAAAATCTAATGTTATATTTTCAGTGTGAACATTTAAACCTTAGTCAGAGCTTAATTTATTGTTTTGTTTATTGTCTAGACTAAAGAAAATAATGGAGAAAATGCTAACAATGTAGATGAAACTTAGAAGTATGCTAGAATGATTTTTCCCCTAAAGAGATGGTTGTTAAAACATTTACCAGCACACTGCTATCACAGACCAAAAGATTTTACAACACATAAGACCTAGTGTAGGCTCATTTGATTGACTGAATTTTCTACTATCATGTTAAGTAAATCATCCATTTGTGGTATAATTGATCAGAACTATAGTCAGATAATGTTACTGTACCTGGTTATACTTTATGTAAACTTTTCTCACTTAGAACTGCATCTTTTTTACTATAAGTCTTATCTAAAACCTTGTTTGCTTCTGGGGATGTTACAAGGAGTAAAAGACCTCAGAATATAGCCACAAGGGTCATCTTTTATATAAAGGGAGCAGTTTAGCTGAACTCTATTCTATTACATAATTGTTATCCTGGACATTATTTCTGAAACCCATTCACAAATGGAAGCATGCAAAAGCACAGGCACACACACATGCACACACACACACACACACACATATACGTAACACTCTGGATAGCTTATAGTCTGCTTTTCATGTGTAAATGATCCTGAAGCTGATATCCTATTTCCTTTGACCCACTGGCCCTTGACAATCATGGTATTCTTTATTACAGGATTAGACAAGAAAAAAGAGACAAACATAAGTTACATTAAAATACAAAGATCTTAAGATTAATCTGAGAATTCTCCCTACATAATAACATAAACTTACTTTCTCCTCAGTTTCTATTTTAAGCTGAGTCTCAACAGATGAAAGTTTGCTTTTGAGATTAGATACTTCGATTTCCTGAAGAAAATAGAAGGGAAGATAGTCAATGCTTCAACACAATGTTAAAAAGTTTTAATACAAGCAAAACCATGCAAATAAACTTCCATTTCACACAGAAACAAGTTCATCTTTAAAGCATAAACTTTAAATTCTTCTATATAATTAGGCTGCTAATTAACCATAATTCTGAAATCTCCATAGAATTTGTTTTTGCAAATATCTATAAGAAAAAAAGTTTGAAACTATTAGTAATTATTCCTTGTGCCTTCTTTGGGATAGAAACCTTCCCACAGCATTATTTGCTTTGCTTCCTTTTTTTCCACTACTCTATGCTATTTACATTTTCTGTTGCTATCCCAATTTTCTTGTTTACCCTCTTTAATCTGCCACCCAACTACTTGTTAGTCTCATGATCCCAACCAAATACTTCTCCTTTGTTTCATTTTAATATCTTTAATACCAGAGAACTTTTATTCCTCTTATTCACCTTTTCTGATGTGAGTATATCTAAATGTCTCTTAAGTGTTATCCTTCTAGCATTCTATTCTGACTATTTTATTTTCTATGTTTTGTCTCTGTTCTCTTCAGTCATCTTTCTGGAATTTCTCTAAAGAAGGTGAGTAATAAGACTTTTGCTGTTATAATTGGAAGGACTGTTTCTTTATTGTTTTTGTTATCTCCCAGCCTGGCACAGTAAGTAGCACATAGTAGTTACTTAATAAATACTTGTTGACTTACCAATTGATTGAAAACAGATCTCAAGCAGTTAATGACAGAGTACTAAGGAAGTAGAGGCAGAGTACAAACTATTTTTACTAGAGGTATGGCAGTAAATATAAAGGGAGCAAAAAATATGATAGTGGATGGAGGGCTAGGAAGGAGGGTAAGAAAAGAAAATGTGTGATCATATAGAAAAGACCCAATAGAGAGCAATAAGCAAATTCTAGAGGAGGCAGAAAGAGAAAGGATCTGAGATGAAAGAGTCTACCAAAAAGTGTTGTAGTGCGCAGGAAGTGAATTGAAGGATCTAATGTCAGATGTCCTCAATCTTTCCAATAAAGTAAAAACTATAAGGTGATCCATCAGCTGAGGAAAGAAGGGATGTTTGCACAGTAGACAAGGTCTACAAAAACTGCTGGGGGTAATTTTAGGAGGATCCCATGTGATGTGAATGAAAGCAATACTGATTAACAATACAGGCTGGCCTAGTTAAGCTTGTATTTTGCAGAAGACTAAATCAGCATAGGTTCATAACTGCCGTTATAATTTCCTGTCAAAAAGTTGATGGGAGAATAGAACTTTAAAAATCTATTTCCATTCCTTAAAAAGTTATATGGATTTTTTTTTACTCTTTATCATTATGGGGAAGTACCACCAAAAAGACAACTTTTGTCAATATAGATCTTAAAACTGATCTGCAATTTAAATCGGTCTGTAGACTTGGTGAGCAATCTGAGCCATTAAGAGACAGATACATGCCTACTATTATGAGGCTAGTATGTCTCAGAGGCAAGACTAGAATTCACATCTTCCTGACTATGAGGCCATCTGTCTATCCACTATGCCATACTGCATTTCTTGTACTCTGTATCTTTACCACCCTAAAAGAGACCACTTGACTCAGCAGAACTACTAGTCAATTCAGTAATAAATAAATAAATAAACAAACAAATAAGTGAAAACAAGCAGCAAAAAAGAAGTTTCATAGGAGTTCGCGGCTATAAGAAGCCATTATCACAGAATCATGTAGACAAAAAAAATAATTTAACTGAATAACTTTACTGAATTTTTCTCTTTCCAGTGCAACTACATTGGCATTATTAAACACAGTCTTTATCCTACTTGTTATAGAGCTCACCAAAGATGTTTTCTTCAATGACTGCTCTTGCTCTTTGCTCTTATACAGTCCTAATTCTGTATCTCTCTCTTCAACTATTTTATCATATTGATCCTAAATAAAACAGAAAAGTCATACATGAAAAAAATATCAAAATCTAACACTTACTTAGTAAGCTTTATGGAACAAAATGAAAGTTAACATTTGTAGAACATGTTTAAAAATCTCCTAGATATACACAATTGTCTTTAGGTTATATGCTTCATAAATTTCCAGTTCACATAGTTTCCATATTGCCAATCCAAGATATAATAAAGAGTACATCATGGCTAAATCAACTTGAAACTGAACAAAAAGGTAAGAACAAATTATTCTCCTATATGTCTGACAGAGCTTCAACGATTAAAAGATGTTATTTAGAATCAGAATAGTACTCATATTGTCGCATACCAGAGTAAATTTCTAACTATAAATGGGCAAATTAAATCTAAAGAAAACCTTAATAGTAGTATAGAATGGCTGATTAATTTTTTTAAATAACTAGTTGAAAACATTGCTAAAGTATTATATAAAAAAAGACAATTGTATGATATAATTTTCTCTTACAGGTATTCTCACTCTTCTTAATGTTGTTACTTTAAACAAGTATATCAAAAGAATTTAAAATCTAAATAAAAATTTTAAATTACCTTATGTTTTTCCATAAGTGCTACCATTTCAGCAATTTTATGCTGACATCTTAAATCAATTTCTTTTTGTAGTTTAACAGCTTCATCTGCTATTGCCTTTGCTTTTTCAACCTATTAATTAAAATTATAAATAAAATATATAAGCAATAGATTAATTTTATTTGAACAAAACCACACAGTAACATATATGTTCTATCATCTGCATTACAAATTTAAAGTCAAGGTTATCAAGAAAATTAGAAAGTTCACTAGCTTTGCTCTATTTATGTTTTTATTATGAAGTTCAATTATTTGCCTGAGCTAGTTTTTACTTTCATAAATAAACAATTATTCATTTGATTGTTCCCACTGAACAAGATTCAAAGGTCAACCAATATTTTCTGCATAACCTCAAGGTATAGTGTCTGTATAAATGCTTCATAAATGAATTATAAATAGTCCCTATTTCATGAATTTACTAATGATCCTTCAGAGTACATAATACCTTTGATTTACTTACTGGCCATTAAATATATTATAATTGTGCACAATTGAGTTTAAAATTGGACTTATGTTTTGTAATATTTTGAATTTATAGTGTTTGGGTTTTGAGAAAAACCACTCTAAGTTGTTATAATAAACCAACCCATTAATTGAACATTATTTTTTAAAAAGATTTCATTTGCCTAGGTCAATAGTAGGATTTTGTGAGCATAGTCCTTTGAAAAAGAAGTAAAATAACTTCACTACAACTTAATCCCCACACAAAAATTTGGGCATGATAGCAGCTATACCTTGAATTACTATAAAACTATCATTTAACAGCCCCAAGGAACTACCTTATATAAATTTAATATCAAATGTTTAAATTATTTCTATAATCAGTTTCTCAAATTTGTTAAGAACACCAAGCCCTTTCCTTTCGAAAACAGGAAGAAACTACATCATCATAAGATAATTTATTTTCATACATTTAATTTTTCCTACCTCTCCCAAAAGATTTTCTTCTGATATCTTTTTGTTAGCAATTTCTTTTTGGTAGTTGTCAGTCATTTCCTCAAAATTTTTGTTAGCATCATTTAGCTCTGACTCTAATTTATTCACCTTATAACAAGAAAGAAAAATATTTCCATCGATAAGTTCCATGCCTTCTTTGGTAAGAGTCCACATTTATGTTTTGCTTTTACAAATTTTGTTTTAATGCTAATTAATAGATAATTGCTAATTTTTTCTAGTTTTAATATTCTGTGGAAACTCTACTGGAATTTCCTTTCCTCCAAAAATTATATTTTCTCATATGCTGTTATTTAATATTACACAAAGCCCATCTTTTTCAAACTGTGTGTTTATTTGAGCATTTGTCTATTTTCTCCTTTTCTTTAAATGTATCTCTGAAGACAGTGCCATAGAATTTAAGTTACTCAATTTCAGCCTAATATAATTCAACATTTTATAATTAGAATTAATTACTATCCTAGTTTGAAAAAGACAATCTGTGATTCAATGAAAAAGGAAAATCTAAATGGTTTTAATTTGCTATTGTCAATAAATAATAATTTTCATTTACATAATGCTTTACTGATATAAGTCATTTTGTGTACATTATGTTTTGATGCTCATAAAACTGACAGGTACTTATTTTGCAGAGGAAGAAAGCGATCCTCAAAAATATTAAAGATTTGCATTTAACCAAAAAAAATGGCAAAGTTGAATCAGCAATACAAGCTCATTAATTTTGTTGTATTCTAATACTTGCTCAAATAATGTCAATAATCTAGATATGCCCTTAATATAATAAATATTATTTTGTTTTCTGGAATATGTGATGCATTATGATTAAAAAGTTTAATGTGATCATTATGATCAAAAGGTTTCCTTAGTTCCAAAATATAATTCTCTTTGATAGATGGGTAGCAATATAACATGTTGGTCAGATATGCGACACATTAAACCCCCACTGTGGATACTCTTTTCCCTGATGCAAATCAAAAATCCTCCGCAACCAAAAGTCTTATATAGTTGCCTGGAGTACTACTGAGGGGGTAAAGTGACTTGCCCATGGTGAAAAAGGCAAAACCTGAGCCTAGGTTTCACTGATCCAAGGCCAATTGTCTATACAGAAGAAGAAATAAGTATAAAATGTTCCCTTATTTTACGAGACAAAAACTTTAAATTATAATATGAAAACTCCAAATACCTTTATCTCATAGGTATTCAACTGTTTGTTCTCTGCAATACTTTTCTTTTTTAAGGCTTTATTCTGTAAAATTATTTTTAAAATAAACAAAGTTATACTTATTGATATTGTTTTATACTGACCTAAGAATCATGGCAAATACAATATTATTGTTTTTAAAATTATTGTTGTAATAACATTTTAAATTTCTAAACTGCCTGTAAATTAAGCATACCTCTTGCTGTAGTTCTTCAAAGGATTTGTTTTTATTTTCCATTTGTTTTTTCAAATTGTTAAACTAAAAACAAAAAGACATTTTATAGTTATTTTCTACCTTTACTGTGATTCTAGACAATTACTCTATTTTGGTTTTCCTGTATAATACTTTGCTTTAAAAGAATATCTTAAAGAATTCCATTAGATAACATGAAAAATTAATTTCAAACATGAACTTTACAAATACAAGATTAGGGTTGTATATACATGTGTGTGTGTGTGTGTGTGTGTGTGTGTGTGTGTATTGTGTAATATAATATTTTTGTTCAGCTTTTTTGGTTGTGTCCAACTCTTCATGACCCCATTTTAGGTTTTCTTGGCAAAGAGTGGTTTGCCATTACCTTTTCCAGCTCTATTTACACATGAGGAAACTAAAGCAAACAAGGTTAAGTAACACTCACGGTCACAGAGTTAGTAGGTACATGAGGTCATATTTGAATTCATGAAGATGAATCTTCCTGGCACTCTATCCACTGTACCATCTAGCTACCCTATATGCAAATATTATGTGTAACATATGTGCATATTACATCTGCATATATATGTGTGTGATTGTGCGTATATGTACATGCACACTAATTACTAAGTACTAAGTGTAGCTGCCTTGCTGCTATAGTATGTGCAATATGTATTTTTCATTCACATCATTTGTCTAATATGAATGTTTAGGCTGATATGTTTTGAATTACAGTTGAGTTTCTCTAAGGAGGCTTTGCAGTGTTCTAAGTTTTCATTGCAATCAGTACAACATTTCCTTCAAAAAGCATATTTAGAGAATGCCACCATCAACAGGGATTCCTTCTGGGTGGATGTTATGCAGAACATCACACTAGCAAACACCTTAGGCAAGCATATGTCTTCCTGTTTCATACTTCACTTTTTGTTGATAATCAATCACTAGGTGAACAAAGTTATCTCCATAGTCACATAAGTGAAAGAATATTGTATTTGAGATTTTTATGTAAGAGACACATTGTTTGAAGATAGATTTCAGGGCTGCATTTTGTTTTACCTAGAGAAAAAACTAAACATATCAATAAACAGTGTCATCTTATATTTTCTAAAACTCAGCTTAATTTGTGACTGTGAAGATATGGACTGCTTATAGAAGATCACTTGCAAAAGCCTGCCTGTTCAACTCTCATGTTTTTCCACAAAGGATACCTTTAAGGGGTACCAAAACCCATTCACAGATTTTATAGAGATAAAAAAGTCAATAGTTGTTGTCTTATTTGTCACCTTTTTAAAAAATAAAGTCACAAATGCAATACTTCCATTGTTTGGAATCTTCCTCTCTTGAAAATTAACAAATTTTCAAATGTCTTTACAATTGACTACCTTAAAAAATGGGAAATTGTGGGATTTTTCTTATTCAGGCTTAATAGTGGAAGGCACTGTACTAAGCACTGGGGATAAAAACACAAGCAAGTATGACAGCTTCTGACCTCAAAGAGCTTGCATTCAAATAAGAGAAGATAACACATAAAGGGGTGCATAAAAGTAGAGAGGAGAAGGTATTTGTACAGGGAGATGGTGAGAAGCCTGTAGGAGGTTTCAAGCCTGATTCCTCATAAGATATGGCAAAAGGTTCACCTATCAGAACAGAGAGAATCAAGGATAGAGTTCAAATTTCTTATGGGGTAGAGATCATCTAAGAGTACATCTACGGCAAAGAGACTGAGCTCGACATTTCTATTTTTTTTTTTTGACATTTCTATTCTTTTAATACCCAATTCTATGACCTAGGGATTCTGATTAGGCTGTATGAGTTGTCCTGTGCCAGGTTTTTTTTTTTCAATGTATTGATTCACATAATTGTATTGTTGTCTTACAGCTGAGTCTTTCAAGGAATAAAGTCTGGGATGGATTTTCTTTTAACACACAAAGAAGAAAAAGTATTCTAGGTCTTAGTCCCTTCATTTCAGCAGAAAATACCTGGGACCACGGGGGACATAGGCTCTCTGCCTCTGCTTTGTCATTTAGTTCAGCCTGGGGGGCAATGCTCTGAGGAGATGAACGGCCACAGAACATTGTCCCTCTGTCTTTACTGGCAAATTAGAAATGTTATCTTTTGTCCCATGCAATACTATAATGCTAAAATTAATTACCTTTCAAAATGGTACTTTTATTTTCAATTATCTTTCACAGATATTTAGTGGAATTAGAAATTCTTGAAAAGGTTTAAAACCTTAAAATGATAATAAAATCTACTCTCCAAAATGTATCATTTTAATCATACCTTGTTTTCTAATATCTTTAGTTGCTTATCTTTTTTCAATATTTCACTTTCAATACTTCTGGTCTGAAAAAAATATTTAAGGTGTTATTTAAAATGTAAGCATGCACATTTTAGTAAATGACTTTTTTTTTCTATTTGTACCCTCTGCCTTCCAGTTTATATAATCTCAGTTCAATATTCAACTTTATTTCATCAACTTTCCCATTTTATTTCTGTATCTTTCTTTAAAAAAAAAACCTTTCCCTCAATTGTTTTCATATTCCTTGAGTATATTATCTTTTAAAAAATTTTATACTTATTATTTTAAATCAGCTAGAAAAATTAAACTTTTATGATATTGTATGAAAGAATAACCACTTTCCTCTCGTTAGGAGAATCCATCTCTTATAATTACTATATGTTTAAAGTATTATTTTGATGCCGTAAAATTGTAATAATAGAATTCTGGAAACACACTCTTCTGAGAAGATCTCTAGGGAATAGAGAACTTCTCTCCATCACAGATAATCTAGAAAATAAGGGGAGCTGATTGTGGTCATCTGAGACCAGAAATCAATCATTAGATTCAAAACCTGTCAGTCAATTAAGTTACAAAGACAAACTGGGACCTAGAGGCTACTTCAGACTGAAAACCAGGACTTAATAAAAAAAAGTCCAATAGATGATGAGAACTTTAAACAGGAAGAGAGAGTTGTCCCTTAGAGACAAGCATCAAAATGTAGACAGATTTTAAGGAATGGTGATACCAACAATCATGGCATGTTGCACTAGGTCAGATAAGCGAAGATGCCAACCTAAGAGAAAAGGTGAAGAAGAAATAATCATAATAACCTGCTAGCTAATGAACAAGTTTCAGGCATGGAGGGATATGATAAGCTTTCCAAGGCTAAGGCTACTAACACTGCCAGAGAAGATGATGGGAATGACTTCAAGGTTAGTTCTGGACATCTTGAAGTCCAGAAAAAAGACAAGAATGTGCCTTAAACAGATACTCCACATCAGGATACAAAACAAGATCTAGAAGAAGCTGAAAACTTTAGTAACTTTGACAACCCAACTCTAATAATGACAATAATTATTAACAACTAACATGTCTATACCACTTTATAGTTTGCAAATCACTTTATTAACAATATCTTATTTAATATTTCCAACTCTGCAAAGTAGGTGCTCTTAGTTTTACCATATTGCACATAAGAAACAAAGATTCAAAAACTTAAATGGCTTATTCAAGGTCACAGAACTAATCTGCCTCAGGTTAGAAGCGGCATCCAGGCCAAACAAGTTTGAGCCAGCTAATTCCAGAGATGAGAACAGAAAGAACAGGTCACTGAAAAAGGAAATCCAATAGAGATCAAGACCTAGTTCCCTTAACATTTCACTGAAAACTGGGAATACTTTTTAAGTTTTTGAAATCCCTTGTAGCTTTCTCCTTCTCTTTATTTTAACTCCTGTACATTATCTACAGATTTCAGTTGTAATTTAGAAGCCAAAAGAAGTATTTTCTTATTTCAGAGCACAGGTAATCTGGGCAAAATGAACCATGGACAGAAGGAATAACAGTAGTAATACTAATGGTAAAAAAGCAGGCAGTTCTGGACTCCAAAGTGGAAGAAAGTAGGGCAAAGGAAGCTGGCCAAAGACCAAGAAGTATTTCCAGTATTTTAATACTGATGAGAAATCCTGTAAAGCATTACAAAATTGAAAAAGCACAGAACCTAAAAAACTTAGGTTATATGCAGGACAATGTAATGGATGATCTGGAACATAGGACAAGAAGTTCAAACCTTATGTTAATCAGAATTCCAGAAGGCAAAGAAGAAAAAAAAAAAGGTGGACACTGAATTCCAGGAAATAATTAAGGAAAACTTCTGGACCACAGAATAGGAAAAATCCTAATTGCATGTGTCCAAGGATTATAATTTCAGAATTATGAAGACAAAAAATGTTTGAAAAAGGAAAAAAGTAATTACATGTGAAAAAAATTTTGCTGGTTGAGTACTATTGTGCCACATTTGTTTTGGAATCAGAGAACCTGGGCCCAAATTCTGTCTGGCACTTACTAGCTGTGTAACTTTGGGGAAGTCACATAACATCAATGGATCTCAGTTTTGTCATTTGTAAAATGAGAAGTTTGGACTAGATGGCCTTGAACATAATTTCTTTGTCCAAATCTATTATCCCATGTCCTTTAATCATAAAGAGCTCTGATCTCCTTGATTTAGATGTTCCCTTTAATACTGCTAATAACAACTCATAACTGTCCATCCTGGGCAACTCTTACCCATGTCCTCCCATAAATCTAGGTAGACAAGGGGTCTACCTAATTTTCTAGGGGTCCTTCCTTACTTTCTTTTAACATCTCCAAGATACCAGTGAAGTATACTGTCTATCCAATGGCTATCATCTTTTTTTAATCATACATTTCTTTGATAATATCCTTTACTTTGGTTCTTCTTCATAGTTCCTTATTTATTAAGTGTTAATAAACTGCTCATAACTACCATGTGTCTCTCCATTTACCTCTAAGTGATTCTCAATTTTAATTCTTTGGAGACTTACCATACAACAGCACTGGTAGAATATATGTATTTAAAAAAAAAAACAGGCCTGGGGCAGCTAGGAGGACCTGAGTTCAAATCCGGCCTCAGACCAAACACTTGACACTTACTAGCTGTGTGACCCTGGGCAAGTCACTTAATCCCAATTGCCTAAAAAAATTTTTTAAAAAAGCAAAAAAAAAAAACAGGCCTTAATCAGGTAGAACTTTGGAGATAGTAAAGAAAATTTATAATTTCCCACAGACAATTCAGCCTACTCTTTCCCTATTTAATTCTGGGCTATTCATTTATGTATGGTATCAATACATATGTGTATGTACTCTTACTACTATGAATGTATATGTGTGTGTATAAAATAGATAAGCTCTATCTAAAAACTGTCTAACTACATATCAGTCTAGAGTGAGGAACCTGTGACCCTCTAGGTCCTCAAGTGCAGCCCTTTGACTGAATCCAAATTTCACAGGACAACTCCCCTTAATAAAAGGATTTGTTCTGTAAAACTTGGACTCAGTCAAAAGGCCACACACAAGGACCTAGAAGGCCACATGTGGTCTTGGGGCTGCAAGTTCCCCACCCCTGGCAACAATAGGCATTCTTTATCCACTTGATTTAGGCCAAATTCTTTAAGGATCATAGGATCATAGATTTAGAGCTAGAAGGGACCTCAGATATCACATAGTTCAACTGCCTCATTTTACAGTTGAAGAAACTGAGGCTTAGAGAGATTAAGTGTCTCATGGATTTTCTTCAGGAGGTTCAGCAGTGTTCTGAGGTATGATGCTACCTACACAGAGAGCAACCAGTAAACTTCATTGAGAATTTCTTTTCAACTTGAACTTTACTGATCTCCATGATCACGGTGAACACCTTTGATGACTATAGGTGAGTCATAAACAATTGATATAATCCTCATTACTTTGTCTGATAAGTCCTGGTTTTTTTTTCACCAGGATATTAAAGTCTTTTTCACTTAGCAACATTACATTTAGTTTTGACTCCCCTCAAAGTGAAATTAATTTGGGGTTGCCAGTTGAGCTATGCCTTGACTTTCCATTAAATCCCTAGCTCACCTATGTGATTTTAAACAGTCCCTCCTAGATTTATAGTGCTACCCTGTGATTTGGGTTAAACTCAGAAGGCAGCCACACTTTAGGACTGCTTGACAGGCAAACCCTTCCCATTAGAACTGCATCATCCAAATATCTCACAGTATTTGGGGAGGGAAACAAGATGGCAAGATCCTTATCCCTTGCTTCCTAGGAATTTCTCTTCACTCTCTAGAAAGTCAGATCTCCAAAGTCTTGAACTTGATTTTGCTTTCAAAACAACTTCCAAGTTTGGCACTGTATAAGAAATTTTTCTCTGATTAGAGCATTTACTCCTTTAGAACATGTCATGTATTCCTTTGGTAGTCTGGTGAAGCCTATAGAACCTTTCTCAAAATAATGTTTTCAAATGTATAAAATAAAATGCGTAGGCCTATAAAGGAAACCAATTATATTGAAATATAGTTGTTGTTGTTGTTTTATGTGAGGCAATTGGGGTTAAATGACTTGCCCAGAGTCACACAGCTAGTGAGTGTTATGTGTCTGAGGACAGATTTGAACTCAGGTCCTCCTGACTTCAGGGCTGGTGCTCTATCCAGCATGCTACCTAGCTGTCCTGAAATAGTTTTGTTTTTTTTTTAAAGTAAGTTCACAAACCCTAGGTCAAGAATTCTTGGGTTAGAGCATTAGATTCAAGCATCACGATATCTAGAAAATCAAAATCTCCCCTTTTCTACATATTGAAGTTAAGGAACATTGTTCATGAATGTAAGATCCCTGACAAAAAGCAATATTTCATTCTTTTCTCTGCATCATCAGTGCCTAGCACAATACCTGGCACATAACAAAATACTTAATAAAGAAGCTGAAATGTTAAACACATACAGCTTCCATATATTTCTCCAGTATATTCCACCACTGACATGGCTGCCATATATCTTCAGCTGGTAAGGTATACTCTTAGGAATTTTTCTTTCAGAGAAGAGATGAGCTCATGTGGATAAGAATTTACAAATGCTAACCCAATCCAATAAACATTTATTAAACACCTACTATGTACCAGGCATTGTACTAAGGTGCCAAGTGCTTCTTCCCTAATATAACCATTAATGGCTCCTGGGAAGAAGTAGGGAGGGGACCCCCTCCTTCAGACTTATATTTTCAGATCACCTGTGCTCTCAGGATCTCCCCAGAAGATGGCAAAATAAGGGCAAAGTTCAAAAAAAAAGCTGAACACTTTTAAAGGACAGAACAAAGAGATGACTCTTTCCATAAGAGTCCATCCTTCCAAGTATACAAACCACACAAAATATAATGGAAGCAGCCCCAGTCACTGAAACACATCCCCTATGAGGCACCCAGGTGTGGCTCCAAACCAACTAAGTCATTTTGAGGCATCTCTAGATACAGAAATAATCCTGCCTTTTATTTTATAATCTCAATAAGGTGCCAATGGGCATATTCATATTCTGAAGCAAGAAGTCCTTTTAGAAACAAAGGCTCACCGCACTGTAATATCAAGTTGAGTGGAGAAACTCCCCTTCACTCCACTGAAGATCTACCTATTACATTGGAGGCCTTCATCCAGTTCCTATATTTTGTGGTTACCAATGTAATACTTAGGTTATTGACTAGTAATAGCTCTCTCTTGTTGCTTTAGTGACCTACTTCCTATGTAAAGAATGCTTTATTACATTGTTTAGAAAAATTATTATACTGTTTAAATCCAACTTTATGTGATTAGAGGTTGCTTACACCCAGAATGTTGCTTAACCTCAATAACTTGCCAGGAATGAGGGAGATGGCTACAAGGCATTTTGGGTTCCCTTCATGTCCTGAATCCACTCAAAGCATTCTTTTTTGGGGTCCCCACACTGAAGCCTCGTTTTAGGTCCATCAAAGCTTGTGTTTTGGGTTCCCTAAAAGTAATATGTGACTTGTGCAGAAACCTTTGCCAAAATCCTATATAATGTAAACCAGCCACCCCTGATTTCTGATTCTCTCCCTCTACCAAATGAGCTAATAAATTTCTTTCTAAAACTATTTCAGATTTTTGAGTTTGTTCTCACAAGCAACTCTTCTTTTACAATTTTGATATTGTCTTTTATACAATTTCTCATGCACATCAGTGGTAATATGCAACAACCTATTTACTCCCAACATATTTCTCTTCATTGTCTTTTGAGTTACCCATAATTTTGATTCTTCCAAGTTTGTAGTGTTCCATGATTTGTAGCTATGTAGTTTCACTCTAATATTTCAATGAAACTGTAATCATATCAATGTAGGTATTCCCTCCAAAGATGCAGACTACAATCCATCCATGCCTGTCTGACTTGTTCTACTCTCCTCCCTTATATAGGTTAACAGGAACCTACCAAATACGCTGAGCTTGTCTCTTCTCTTCTCCTGGAAGCATTTATTCTTTGCTCTACCCTCCATAACTGACCCATCTTCATTTTTAGTTATTTATTTCTCTAACGGCATTCTTTTCACCATTCCTCCTGTACAATTTTTTAAATTGTTGCAGTATCACAACCAATTCATTCCCACCACGTACTTCTCCATTGCCCTCTGAGTAATATTAAACTTCAGATCTTCAGAGACTGTAACGATTTACAGTCTTACTGAATCACCCAAAGAATATTAATATTAAAAAATATGAGCTTTTATTTCAGAAAGAAGCTTAGAATCATTCAAAGAACTTTGAAATTTCTCAAAGACAAACTGTGCAGTTTTTTCTTCTGTTGAACGCTAGGCCCAGACTATTGTCCATTTGCAGGGTCTGTCCAAGATATAAATATTGAGTTTTTCTTGTTAGAGTCAGTCCAAACTCAAAGTTTATTGACCTCATTTGGAAAGCTCTACAATTTTCCTAGGTGTGATATAATCAATACAATGTCTCTCATAAATGAGAGCATCTGTAAGACCTCATCATCTACAAGCAATCCCTTTCAATGTGGACTTTGTGATGACTCACCAACATGATAGTGGCAAATACCTTTAGCAAACATATATCTCCATGTTTTAAGCCTCATTTAATCATCAGAGGGTGGTTAAACAAAATTCTTTCTAATATTCTATCTTTCAAGGACTCTTAAGTAATTTTGACATCTGCATTGAAGAAACCTTGATTGAGGAGAACCTTTTGTGTTTTGTTCTACTGAATCAAATGCTTTTTTCATAGTCAACAAATAGTAAACACAATTAAATTGTGTAGCACCTATACCTTTCAGTCAAAGGTATGAAAGTAAAGATGTCTAATTTGAAGTACCTGCAAAAGCCTTCCTGTTCCAATCCAATGCTTTCATCAAGGCTGTTCTTAATGCATATGCAAACTCCCATAATTTTACATATACATATATGTGTATATGAAAATAGACACATGAGTAAGTAGTTGTTGATGTTCCCCCGATTGCCTTTTTTTCAGTAATAGTTTCTGAGACTTTTTCCACATACATAATATCATCCCATCCTTTTTATAATTTGAGAATCAATTCCTTGATGCCCTCAAAATGATGTCACTGCCAGCACTAACACTTTCTTTACTTTCTTTTCTTCTGTGCCATTTCCACCCTGTCAAGAAGCATGTTAGAGTTCAAAGGTCGCGTCTCCACTATTGTTCATAGTATAAAAAGTTTTCAGTGAAAAACTTTAAGGATATTTTCCCTTTTTTATCCGTCTGTTAAGCCTCTTTTCAGTTCCATCCTTAAATCCCCTTGGAATAACTTTGCTTTGGGTCTTCGGCCACATCTTTTAAAAACTGGTATTGTTCTAAAATGCTTCTCTCTGCTTTATGAGGCAATGTTTTTCATAACCTTCCCCTTCCTTCTGCAGAAGACTTTACAAATCAGTTTCTAGTCAAAAACAAGGTTTCCACTGGTCACTATCTTTGGCAAGGTGATTGAGTATTTGTTGACTTCGGTGGTTTTTAGGGAACGGTTTAGCCTGTATAACTGCTGAGGTGCCTTCTAATTATGAAATTCTGTGATTCCATGATACAGAGAACTACATACACACAGGAGCTAATACTCTATGGATATAAAAAGAGAGAGAGAGAGAGAGAGAGAGAGAGAGAGAGAGAGAGAGAGAGAGAGAGAGAGAGAGAGAGAGAGAGAGAGAGTAGGATCCTAAACAGGAGAGAAGAATTCAAAAAGATAAAAGAGATTTAAAACCTCAGCTGGAGAAGAAAAAAGAGAAGAGACAGAAATGACAGGTCTCAATTGGACCTGAAGACAGACCTGCTGGCCACCTTGTCTATGCAATTCTAAAGGGGAAAAATAATCACCACAGCAGAGAAATACATGTACCCAAGAATAACCTTTTGCTATGTCCAGAGGAAAAATGTGACCTCCTATACGGGAAAGTTGCTTAATTCTCTTGGAAAGTACAGGAGAAGTTTACTAATTGTCAAAGGGTTCAGATGAAAGCTTTTTGTTAGGTTGAATAAAATCTGTCCTCTGTCTCATAACTTTTTAGTTTGAATGTTTGCAAGGGAGCTAAGAGTCCCTGAGACAAATCCTGATGTTCTTAGTGAAAACTCTGCCTGGAGGCATAAGCTACAGATATTACTACTGAAAAGAGCCCTCAGAGTGAGCCCAGTCTGTCATGTCATGGGCCAGGCATCAATTAACACAAGTACTACAAATATAACATACATTTTCTTCACTTTCACTCAATTTACTTTCAACTTCTTCACTTTTTCGTTTTAACTGCTCTTTCACAGCATCCACTTCATTCCTATAGAAATGAAAAAGAAGGTAAAACTGCAATTAGAATTTTTTTTTTCATTTTACTATATTAATAGGGTTTGTTCACTAGTTTGTTCTTGGTTTGGTTTGGTTTAGTTTGCCGGAAAATCAGGCTTTATAGACAAGTTTGCTTACATTTTAAATGACATTACATTAAGTTTTTCCTCTCCTAAACCTCAAATTGAAAAGTTTTCCCTAGGAAAAAAAAAAACATTTTTCCAGAGAAAAAATGGTACCTAGCTAAAGAGATGAGCATCATTTTCTCTTGTTATTTTCATTTATAATCAGTTATTATATTAAAAACATGATTTTAAGTGCATGATTTCATAGGAATGAAATAGGACTAGTTACTAATGACTTTCAATAAAGTGTTGCTTCTTGAAAGTAAAGTTAATGCTACTGACAGAAAAATGTACATTCAAAACTATTGTTTCAAAATAACGATGGGTTGTAGTGGGCCTCTATCCTTTCCCTTGCACTCCAACTCTCTCATTCAATCTTCTTTATGGCCTAAATAATTAATTAGCCACTGATTTTCCTTGCTTCAATAGGCTTTTTGTTTCTTATGGTCAACGGTTAATCACTGACAAGAATGACAATAGATGAGTAGTCCTTTATACAAAGGTGACTGGCAAATATGGGAATTAAACTTATTCCTTGTTTTTCATTTAGAATAATTCAAATTATATTTCCCAATTCTTTCATGCATGTCTAAATAACATTTAGCTAAATAATTAATTTGATATAAATATTTTTATGAACTAGAAATGCCCACATTTGAAGTTATACAAAACATGAATATTCATTTGATTAGAGGACAGCACTACTGATGGCTATAAGTTTAATTCCCGTATTGTCCAGTTACCTTTGTATAGGTAGAGAAAGAACTAACGCCAATAAAAGAATTATTTTTTTAAAGTGTTGAAGAGTATCTCATATAAAATTAATATGAACTATAATATACTAACAGAAAAAATATTAACTTATTAGATTAAAAGGTAATAATAATATAATAGGCCCAAAATATTTAATTAGCCACTCATTTTCCTTGCCTCAATAGGTTTTTAGTTTCTTCTAGATTTTCAATTTGCTTCATCATCTTTTCTTCTTGCTTTTTGTTATCCTAAACAAATAAATAATTGATGTTACCCAAATTAATTATGTCACATACATTTTAAATACAAAAGTTTTAAAAACTAACATTAAAATCATTCTTATTTGGCACAAAATGCACCAAATTCAAGGTCTATCAATCTCCCTTCTTAATTTGTCCTTGCTTCTTCCACAACCCTGCTAACTCCCTCTATTGAAATCCTACCCATCTGTTGAATCTTGTCCAACCCTCAAGACCCAGTTCAAATGCTAACCCACACCAATTTGCCTGGAAAGTAGAATAGTAAAAGAAAGTAACACAAGACTGGAAAGGTTGGATGGTGCCAAACCTAAAAGAATCCTTAACACCCAGGAATGGAATCTATACAAATCTATACTTTTGTAGACCCATTAAAGATTTTGAGCAGAGGCATAGAATTATCCGATCTATATATAAGAAAGATAACTGTCATAGTGGTATGAAGGATAGTTTGAAGGAGAAGGGAATTAGAAGCATGAAGACCTGTTTGGAGGTAGTTACAGTAGTACCAGTGGTTGATAATGAGTACTTAAACTAGAATTGTTGTAACAGAAACAGTGAGGTAAGTATGAATAAAAGAGATAACCTAGAAGTGAAATCAGCATGATTTGATAAGTAAATATTAATTCAATAAGCATTTATCAAGTGCCTGCTATGTGCCAGACATTGTACTAGGCACCAGGGATATAACTATGTGGGCTACTCTGGAATATCAAAAACAGTCTCTGTCCTCAAGGAGCTTTTTTTTTTTCAGGAGAAACAACACATATACATGTAAGTAAATACAAAATAATATTTAAAATTATTTCCATGGGAGAGGGCACTAACAACTGGAGATAAAGAGGATAGGCAGGTCTCATGTAGGAGGTGACGCTTGAACTAAGACACGAAGAAAGCTAGAGATTTTACAAGATAGAAGTGAGGAAAGAAAGCATTGCACACATGATGGGTAGCTCATGCAATGGCACAGAAATAGGAGATAGAATGTCACACACTGCAAACATCAAATAGGCCAGTATGTCTAGACCTTACAATATATGAAGTAAAGTAATGTAAAAAGTATACATATATATGTACATAAAAGTATAAAAACATAGGCTAGATTGTGAAGGCCCTTAAATGCCCTTCAAATGCATTCTTTGTGGTAGCAATACAAGAGGTAAAGATGAGAGAAGAGTCAAAGATAACCTTAAGGTTATCAACAGGGGAAACAAGAATGAGTACTGGTGCTATACAGAGATGTAGTGAAGTTAGAGGAAGGAAAAGTTTTAAAGGAAAAGAAAATCAGCTTGGTTTGGGACATATTGATTTCTGAAATGCTTTAGAGAGATCCTGCAGGCATTTGGAAATGTGAATCTGGTATACAAAAGAGAAGTCAGCACCAGAGTTATAGATGTAGGTGTATTTGTACAGAAGTAGAAGTTGAAAACATGGGACTAAATGAGATTTTCAAATCAAAAAAGAGGATTAAGAACATACCCTTGAGGAACACACATATCAATGAGTAAGAACAGGTTGAAGGGCCAGATACTCCGCCATGTATGTGATCCAGTGATACGTCTCCTTCTTATTCTATCTCCCAACTTTCTGCATTTTCACTGACTGTCCCCCAGACTTGGAATACTCTCCCTGCCTCATCTTTGCCTCCTAGCTTGGCTGGCTTCCTTCAAGTTCCAACTAAAATCTGACCTTCCACAGGAAGCCTTTCCCGAAAACTCTTAACTTCAGTAATGTTTTGTCTTTGCTGATTGTTTTGAATTTACCCTATACATCACCTATTTGTACATAGTTGTTCGCATGGTATCTTTCCCATTATACTATGAGCTCCTTGAGAAAAGGGATTGTCTTTTACATTTTTTGCATCCCTAGTGTTTAGTGCCTGTCACATAGTAGGTGTTTAATAAATGTTGACTGACTGACTTTTACAATTAGATAAGAGGCATAATGCAGTGAGTACTGAACTTGGACTCAGCAAGTACTGGGCTTAATCCTTGCCTCTAACACTTATCAGCTGTGTGATTCTGGGCACCTTAGGAAACTCTCTAAGGCTTTTTATTAAGTTATAGATGGGTTTAGATCTGTTTCAGGGTTTCTCATGCTAATGAAAACATAGATCCTTGATGTATTGATGTAAAATTAGATTTATGGTTTATCTGTAGATTTCACCAAATTTTTTTTACCCATTATCACTGCCAATTCAAAAAGAATAAAAGAATTCTAGAGTTAAGAGAGATCTTACAGATAATCTACTAAACCTCCACCTTTCAGATGAGAAAAAGTTACTTGCATTTATCAACTTACATTAATATCTTCTTGCAGTTTCTTGGATTCTAAGGTTGTAATCATTCTTTCTTGTGCCATCTGTTTGTTTTCTAGTGAGAGCTTGTTGAAATTTGCAGTTAATTCAATATTTTTTAGCCTATTAAAACATAAAATGAATTAAATGTATTATGTACTTTTATTTTCCCACAATTTCATTCCTCCCTTCTTCACCCGATTTTAAAAAGTAAATAAAAACAAGCTTTCTCTCCTATGTAATTTTCACTCAGTAGCCTATTTTACATTTAATTTTTTTCTCAATTACATGTTTATTTTTTAAAAAATTTGACTTCCAAATTCTCTCCTTCCCTCGTTCCCCTTACTTCTTGATAAGGCAATTGATTTGATATATAGAATATACATGTGCAGTCATGCAAAACATTTCCACACTAGCCATGTTGCAAAAGAAAACAAACATCAAAAAATAAGAATAATAAAGTTTAAAAAACATGTTTCAATCTGTATTCAGACTCCATCAGTTCTTTCCCTAGAGGTGGAAGGCATTTTTCACCATGTCCTTCACAATTGTCTTGGATTGTTAAGAATAGGTAAGTCATTTATAGTTAATCATCATACAGAATTGCTGTTCCTGTGTACAATGTATGTATACGTATGTAGGTAAAATTATTCTGTACATACTTCTATTTATCAGTTCTTTCTCTGGATGCAAATAGTGTCTTTCTTCATATATCCTTTATAATTAATTTGAGTATTTATAATAGTCAAAATGAATTATTCATTCAAAGTCAGTCTTTTGTTTTTTGTTTGTTTGTTTTGCTTTTTTAGGCAATTGGGGTTAAGTGACTTGCCTACCCTATCCCCCAGTTTTCTCACCTCTCTACAACTTCAGAAGACTTCTACACCTCCCCAGATGTACACATTATTTCCTCTTCAACGCAGATGAGAGTAAGAGTCCAACATTACCAGCCCTGTACCCACACCTGCTTCCTCTGTATTAGTTCTTCCTTTCATACTCCATTTTTATAAGATAATTACTCCTTTGTACCTTTTCCTACCTAATTTTTTAATCACTCCATCATACACAATTCACTCCCAACCTTTCTTTCAAACTATCAAACACTACTCCCTTTCAAACATTTTCTATTATAAGCAAACTGGATTACTCACCATTCCCCCTTTTCAGCCTGTCCTTTTCTACTTCTGTGCCTTTCCTCATACTATCCCCCAGGGTCTAGAAGGTATTCTCTCCCCCTTTTCAGCTCCAACAATCATCTGCTAAAATTCTTCCCTTCCTTTAAGTCAAATGTCACCTTCTCCATGAAGCTCTCCCTCATTCCTCTGGCTGGAAGTGATATCTTCTCTCTAAGATTATACATTTACACGGACCTCTCCTTTGCTATTATTTTCTAATTTATATTATAGATATTTGTGTGCATATATTCCCTACTAAAAGTAGGGAATCCCCTAAAAGTAAACTTTATAGAACTAGGTTAGATTTCTTCTTTGTATTCCTAGCACTTAGCACAGTGTCCTACATGTATCAGGTGTTTAATACACGGCTTTTTTCTAAACAGAATTGAATTAAATTGAATTGAAAACTTTTTTGTTGAAAAGTAAATAGAAAAATTGATAACTGCCATTGATATCTCTTAAGTTGTTCTTATACCAAGGTTGTGATGCTCCACCTAAAAAGTCTACTGGTGTTAGGAGAAGCAGCTGCTTTATTATGTGGTAGGTTAGATGTGAATTTAAGGGCACCTATCTCCTATACTTGTAGGAAGTATCCTTAAAGAACGCTGCCCTTATAACAAAAGGCAACAGTTGTGGGTGACTGGGTTATTCTATTATTTAATTAACAAGAAAAATATATATAGCTCATATTCATCTAATTATATATTCATGTAAGTTTAACAAGATTACGGTTTATAAGAAATATCAGAGAATAATGGCAATATGACCTTGGAGTCAGGAAGACCTTCATTCAAGGCATCCTCTGACCCATTTTGGCTAAGTGATCCTAGGCAAGTCACTTACCCTATCAATGCCTCAGACAATTCTCTAAGATGATAAGTTGCAAGGAATGTGCTCATTTGTGTTCATATAGTTTTTTCACCCCAAATTCCTAATGAACAAAATCACAAGTCCAATCCTTCCAAACTGGTTTAAAACAAAACTTTGGGAGAAAATACATGTAGTTCACAAATAACAGAAAAACATACCTCTCCTGTTCAAGCTCAGTTTTAAGTCTGGCAACCAGTTGTGAGTAATTTTGTTCATTTGCAGCAGCTTCATTAAATTTTGCTTCCAAATCATGTACTTCTTTCTAAAAAAGTGTACAAGTATATAGGATGTGTTTTTAAATTTTTCCATTATTAAAAAAATTGATTGCAAAAGTAACAATACAACCTCATCTGAGTAGTACTACTTCAGTTCTTCAAAGTAGAACTACTTCAGTTCTTCAAAGATCTACAATATCTTCAGAGTAGGTATTTCTCTCCACTGATGCACATCCCAACCCCTCTATGCCTCAGCAGATGGTCATTATGAGTTGTGACAAAAAAAACTAAATCAACTTCTAACCAGCCTGATAATGGGCTTCTCTAAAAACTATTTGGGCTCTACTTGAAGAAGTGCCCATGACAGCCATGCTCACTTCTCTCCTGACTCTCTGGACTTTTACTCCTCTTCCTACACCCTCACGTCAGATTTTCAGCTCCCTTTATGTGCTGTCTTTCCCTCTAAATTCCTTGAGGGTAAGGACTGTCTTTCTTTGTGTTTACTTTTGTATTACCAGTACTTAGCACAATGCCTGATATAATAAAAATTTAATAAATACTTCATCTATCCATTTAGGCTGGTCCTCAGATCACCCACATACAATTCATCATTAGGCTATGCTCAAACACCTTCCAGCTTTGTACCATCTCCCAGAGTTTGTACTATTCTAGCACAATCTACAAAAACACTGGTTTATCTCCATGCCATGACGCAGTATCAGAATAGGTTGTAGATATTATAGAGTTGTCATTTGAGATTTTATAACTACTTTAAAATTCATGTAGATAAAACACCAGAATTTTTAAATAACAAGCTTTAAAGAATATTTGTACAATGGTACTTTCACTGAACTGAGGTGGTTTTGGAGTGCTCCAGAGTACAAATAACAATCTCATTCATGCTTCTCATCCTGTCCAAATCTCTTGCCACACATTTTCCATATAAGATCCTTTAAACATACTGGTGACTTTTCTCTCTTTTAAAAAAAAAAATGTCAGAGGTACTAATAGGATATTCACACTGTCCAGAATTTTCTTTATATAATTGGATCACTTCCTTTTCCAGACATATATTTTCTAAGTAATGTTTTTATATCACTTCTTGCATACAAACCATCCTTGTTAACATGCTAAAAATCTACTCATACCTACCATGAGTGCTTCCATCTTTGTCAGTAACTTGTAATCTAGATTCATCAAAAACTAAAGTGTCCTATGAGTCATGGTCATACAGCATCACCCAAGGAATATCAATATCAAAGAGACTGGCTTTTATGAAAATGAATAATTTGGTAATATTGGACAATGCTTTTAATGTCTCAAATTCAATCTACCCTTATTTCTTTTCGCTCTTCAATTCTGAGCTTGTTTCATTGTTCATGAGTAGCCTGTTTAAGATACGTAATACTGATGAACTAATTCAATCAACTGGTTATCCAGCTCTATGTTATACTCTAAGTAATAAGCATTTTTCAACTAGTTCAATTATCCTATATAGATTAAGAGGCTAATGTCTTTTGTATTCCTATAGATTTCACTGAGGAAGTTTTGTAGTATTCCAGGACTAACCGCAGCAAGTAGAATTTCATCTAAGGATGGAAACATTTGAAGAATTTCACCATCAAAATGGAATCCTGTTTTGAGGGGTTTAGTTTTTTGGGGTTTTTTTTTTTTGGCGGAGGGACTCCACACAGAAAATTTTCCCTTTTGCTGGAGAAGACCTCAGTTAAATATATTAAGTCTTTCGCTTTGATACCTGGCTTGATACCAATACTTAGCAGACTGTTGTACAAAATTACGTTATAATGCCTTGTATATTTTAATGTATATATGGGATGCAGCTTACATGAAGAGAAATTTCAAGATGTTATTTTGTTCTATATAGTCACTTTTTTTTAAAGAGCAATAAAAAAGGCACAATGGAATTTTATATTCTCTATGTCTTTCAGTCAGTTATGTAACCATAAATATGTAGAAAATAATCTGCAAAAGGCCTTCCTATTTACTGCTAATATTTTTATCAATGTTATTCTCAATGTATAGAACATTTTCATAAAGATTTTCATAGAGAAGAAGTACATACATGGGTCAGTCATTACTGATGCCTTCTCAGTCACTTTTTTTAAAAGTAAAAATACTACCTGTAATTTTTCCTGTTCCTTTAGAATTTTCTCCTTTTTGCTATCCCTAAGTATTTTTAAATTTGTATTATCTCTAGTATAGATTTGTTCTACAAATATTTAGACAGGAACAGTCCCTTCATCCGAATTTCACCTTTTAAAATAGCATTGTCACTTCTGTATAAAGCATATCAAGTACTGAGGTATAAATGTCCAAAGGTGGTGCTTCCATTAGCATTACCCATCCCATCCTCAACAGATCACTTCAAAAATATGTTTCATTTTGCTTTTGAATTTGTCTTCTTTCCACTTTCATCTACAAATGTTCCTGGGATGATTTGGGCTACCTGAATCTCATGACAACACAACTGACTAAATGATGTAGAATATATAAGATTTAATTATATTTCTTGTTTGATATAGTAATCAAATAAAAATTGATTTTGTACAGTAAAATGTAACTTTAAAGGTTCTCCTCCAATGAAATGTCTTTCATGCATATATTAAAATCATGCAAGATTTCTTAAAGTGTAAAAATGGAGAAAACTTAATTCAGCAACCCTTTAATTGTTTATATCAAGTTAATATCTCCCTCCAACAAAGGCCCAACTCTTTAACATCAATAGTTTTTCAGTGATACCATATAGCTATGAATCATAGGACACTACAGTCTCTAAAGAATTAAAGTGATATGTCACCCAAATGACAACAAAAAGAAACATTGAGAGTATGAGTAGGCTGTAATATATTACTAATTAGAATTACCTAGGAAAAGTGATATAAAGGATGTCATTAGAGCCTGTATAACTACAAAAGCAAGTAGTTACATAGCAAAAAAGGATAACTAATAGACAATTTAAAATGTCTATAAGCATTAATGTAAGACACATCCTCAGTAACAAAAATATCTGAAACAAAATAATTATACGTACCTCTCTGACTTGCAGAATCCCATTTAGCTCTATTTCTGTTGCCTTCAGTTTTTCAGTAATCGTCTCTAAATGCTTCTTTTCACTTAAAAGTCTTTGATTTACCTCCTAATTAAGAATATAAAGTAATCATGAATTTCAAAGTACAACTATTCACAATCATAAAACCTACAAACAAAAGCTGTGAACAAAACCATGATTTCAATAAAGATTTTTTTCCTTTGGCTGGAACTACAAATGCATACAAAATACATCTTTAGTCAATAAATAAATATGAAGGAACTGAAGTATAATCAAAAGGCCACTAGAGAGGGAGTCAAGAGAACCTAGGTTCTAGGTACAGCTATGTCATTAACTAGCTTTATGGACATAAGCAAATTTTCTTACATGTAAAATGAGTGGTTGGACAAAATTATTTTTTAAAATTCCTTCTAAATCTAAAATTTTATGATTCCTTGAAAAGATTATTTCTAAGCTCGTTTATAGTCTTACAGACCTGATTCTATGAAAAATTGTCAATTGTTATGGAGAGTAAAATGAAAATTTGTAAATATTACAGTTTCATGTGCTACAAGGTCATACATGGAAGGGGAAATCACCTAATACAGGAAATCTCATTTTAAAAAGACTACTATAATTTCTGATTCTATATAATAAAAGATTCATGTTCACAATTAATTACAACAGATATATTTTAATGAATCAAGTTCAGAAAAAAATTATTTAGAACTGATATCTTTACTAATTCTTGTCCACAGAGAAATCAACCTCTATAATAAAAATGTTACTTTGGTATTTAACATATACACATATATATATGTATATATATACACACACACACACATATACACACACACACATATATAAAATGACATATAAGCTATTCTTAAAATTTAACAGGTTTCACAAAAGGGTGTGGTTGTGGTTTTCAGTGATGGCATTAGTAAATAAGAGACTGAAGATCTGATAGTTCTCAAAGTGAAGATAAAAATCAAATTAAAAATGGGATAGGTCCTGGGCCAGATTTTTCTATCAGGCATATTAAAAAATCAATTATCTGAACCTAGAAATACTATCACCTTCTGTATAGCATAAAAATTAAAACCACAACCAAATAAGTATATCTTTAAAAGTTTATTAAAATGCAAACTAACCCTACACACAAAATATAATGACTTCAGTAAATACTCATGAACTAAAAGAATGAACACAATCTTCAAAGGAGTCTTCTTTACAACCATAAAATATCACATTCAAATTAATATAAGAACACAGTTTTAGAGCTGGAAGAGGCTTTCGAGGGCATCTATTCTCATTCCTTCATGTTATAGATGAAGAAATAGAGGCCAAATAATATTAGATGACTTGCCCAAGGCAAGATTTAAATTTAAATTTAGGTATTCTGATTCCATAGTCAGTATTCTTTCCATTGTACCATGGTAAAATTGTTTATATGACAAACATGGCAATAAGATGGGCAATGTATAATTTCCTTCTTTTAGGTAAACAGGAAAGAGAAATCATAAGGGACTTATTAAGGTTGAACTGCTTACATTCCTACCTGGAAAGATGATATTTGTAACTCATAAGACCTTTGTCAATATTAGGGTAGTTGGAGGGGAAAAAATTCTATGTAGATAGATAGATAGATAGATAGATAGATAGATAGATAGATAGATAGATAGATAGATAGATAGATGGCACAGGGTTAGTTGAAGATGAAGGGGTGATATCTGGAGAATAAAATTAAGGGGTGAGAGCATTATACTGGGAGAAGGAGAAAGGGAGAGGCAGAATGGAGTAAATTATCTCACAGAAAACAGACAAAAAAAGGCTTTTACAGTGGAAGAGACATAGGGGAAAGTGAGAGGGAATGAGTGAATCTTATTCTCATAGGATTTGGCTTAAGGAGGGAATACTATACACATTCAATTGGGTATGGAAATCTATCTTACCCTACAGGAAAATAGAGGAAAAGGGGATAAGAGAGCAGGGAGATAATAAAGGAGAGTGTGAGAGATGATCTCTCAGAATTGAAACCTCCTCAGGGAATCAATGGTTCTTGTTAATATTTCTTGATTGTTGCCTTCAAAACCCTCCCCCACTCAGAACCTTTTTTTTTAAATGCTTAGCAGAAAGAATAAGCCCTGCCTCCAACCTGAACTGCCTGCCCTTGCAAAACTTCCTGCCTTTTTCTTGTCTCTGGGCAAACTTGTGTAACTACCTTTGTTCTAGATTTCCGTGAAAAGAGTGTGCCCCCTGAAAGCCCAGCCAATGGGATAAGGGGAAGGGGGTTAGGGAGGAGGAACTTGCGTTAGGGTATAAATAAGCCTTGATTTCTATAGCAAATTCGTACTCTCCTGGTCTGAAATGGCGACTAAGAGGGTACCCTTTCTCATGAGAAAGCAATAAACTCCTTTCTACTTTCAAGGTATCTAAGTCTTTGTTTTTATTTTTGAGTAAGTGGTCTCTGTCCCACACAAGGTTGGGGGAGAGGGTAATCAGAAGCAAACACTTCTGAGGAGGGACAGGGTCAAAACAGAGAATAGAATAAAAGGAGGGCAGGATAGGATGAAGCGAAATACGGTTAGTTTTCCATAACATGACTACTATGGATGTGGTTTGCATGACTACACATGTGTAAAGTGTATCTAGTTGCTTGCCTTCTCAATGAGGGTGGGTAAGGAGGGAGGAAGGGTGAAAATTTGGAACTCAAAGTTTTAAAAACAAATGTTAAAAATTGTTTTCACATGCAACTGGGAAATAAGATATACAAGCAATGGAGTATAGAAATCTATCCTGTCCTACAGGAAAATAGAACAGGAAGGGGACAAGAGAAGGAGGAGATAGAAGGGATGGCAGATTAGGGAAAGGGGTACTCAGAACGCATGCTGTCTTGGGGTGGAGGGACAAGATGGGGAGAAAATTTGGAAGTCAAAATCTTGTGGAAGTGAATGTTGAAAACTCAAAATAAATATATAAATTAGTAAAACAAATTTCCTTCTTTTAAGAAGTAAGAACCAAGAATTCTAAACAAATTGTGGTACATAAATATAATGAAATATATCCACTAAGAACTGATTAATTAAAATAACAGGCAAACACAAGAAGACTTATTATATAAACTGATACAAAATTAAAGAAATGAAAGCAGGAAAATAATATACACAATTTTTACAATGCAAATGGAAAGAACAATAACAACAACAAAGACCCCAGACTTGAACATTGTATAATTATAATCATCAAGCTTGGTCCTGAAGAAAAGAGGAGAAAATGTACCCTCCTTTCTTTGTATAAAGGGGAAATATGGGTGTGGAACATTAAATAGACTTGGCTTATGTATTCAATAGTTTTCCTGAAATGCTTTTTTCCCTCTCTCTTTTTTATTCATTGCTATAAAAGACAGTAATTCGGATACCTTTGAAAAAGCAAAGTTATACTTTAATAAAAAGTATGTTTTTGGAGAGGTGAGACCTAAAATTGTTAAATTTTATTTTGTTTTTTAAAATTTGTTTGTTAAAATTCTAGAAGTCATAATAACATGCTGGACAAAAGCAACCTGCTGACAGTTGCCATCATCTCAATTACTTAGAGGGACAATCATATATATTTACCAAGGTTCTTTTTAATTCTTCAAGTTGTATTTCTTTGTCCTTTTCACATAGTTTCATGTCTTCTAAAATAAAAAAATAAATATATTAAAAGAACTAACTGTTACTGAGATTAAAAGATTGAGAATGATATGTGAAATGATTGAAGAAGTAGGAAATAAAAGAGTAACAAAGAGGAAATCAATCAACACATATTTATTCAGCACATCACATGTGTCAGCCACTGTGCAAGGCACTGGAGATACCTTAACTTAAGGGGAATGGTCTCTGCCCTCAAAGAGTTGATATATTATTGGGGAAAAACATAAATAAATATAAACAAACCCATGGAATTTTTTTTTGTCGAGAAGGCACTAGAGGCTAGGGTGAATAGGAAAGACCATGTAGAAGGTAGAACTTCAACTGGGCTTTAAAGGAAACTAGGTATTCTAAGAGATGGAGACAAAGAGGAGTGAATTCCAGGCATCTGGTCAAAGGCACAGGGATTAGAGATATAATGTTGTGTGTGAGGAATGACAAAAAGGTTAATTTGGCAAGAAATGAAAAAAAAACTTCTTAAAAGGGAAGCACTAGGCAGAGATAGATTAAGGACACGATGAAAAAACTGAAAACCAGGTAATATAGACAAATACATAATCTTATAGGATACTAATATATTTAAAACAGACCTATTATAAGGTCATCCATCATACACTGTTTCATATTCATTTGCCTTAATTTCAATTTATCACTATTTCTGTATCTTGTTATACCTATATCTATTCTAATCCTTCCCTATAATCTCAAAGGAAGCTGGATGATATTCTTCTCTGAAATTAATCTTACACTTATTATCATGACCCCATTCCTTCCTGTGTCTTTAAGAACCTCACTCCAGCAAGGATAACTTCCCTGTAAATATACTCTACCCTCTTTCTCTCCACAACTTTCTTACATAACTATCAATTCAATCAACAAATTTAGTTGTTAGGATTAATTACCAAGCATTACAAATCTCTTTTATCTTATAAATATTTAACCCTAATACTCCTTCTATCTATTATACAATTTCTGTCCTTCCTTTTATTACTACACTCCTTGAGCATGTGGTATTTTATAATCCAGTGCCTTTATTTCCTCTCCATTCACTTAGGAAATGTCTGCAAGCAGCCAGAAAGAAATAATTCAAATATCATGGAGTCACAGTCAGAATCATACACAACCTAGCAGCCACAACCTTAAAGGAGTGGAGAGCTTAGAATATGTTACAAAAGACAAAGAAGCTAGCATTACAACCATGAATTACTCATCCAACAAAACTAAATACAATCTTAGAGGTGAAAAAAATAGATCTTTAATAACAAAGGACTTTCAAGCATTCCTGATGAAAAGACCAGAGCTGAGAGGAAAATCTGACATTCAAAAACAGAACATTATAGAGAAGCATAAAAAGATAAACACAAGTAAGAAATCATAAGGGACTATGTAGAGTTAAACGGTTTACATTCTTAAATAGGGAGATGATACAGAAAACTCCTCAGAACTTTATTATCACCAGGGCTCTTAGAGGGAATCTAATTAGACAGAAGGCCTGAATGTGATTCTTTTATGTTTGAATGATCTCAAAAGAAGAATGGATGGGTGGGAAAGAGGAATATACTAGGAAAAAGGGGAAGGAGGAAGATTAATGGGGAAAATTATCTCACATAAATGGGGTGCACAAGGAAGCTTATACAGTGGAGAGATTAGTGAGGTAGAACAGACGACACCTGAACTAAACTCTCATGTGAAATGGTTAAGGAGGGAAGAATACACATACATACAATGTTGGGTACAGAAATTCATCTTACTTAACAGAGTTAAGATGAAAAGGGATTAAGAGAAAAATCAGGGTGTAATAAGAGGGAGGGTAGAATGAGGGAGGCAGTGGTCAAAAGCAAAATAGACTCTTAAAAAGGGGACAGGGAAAAAAACAGAAGGAAAAATATACAATACTTTTTAGAGAGAAATACATGTTTAGCAATCATAATTATGAATGTGAATGGACTGAACTCACTCATGAAATAGAAGAGAATAATAGAATGTATTAGAAACCAGAGACACACTTGAAACAGAAAAATACACACAGAATTAAAATAAGGAACTGGCACAGGATCTATTATGCTTCAGTTTAAGTTACAAAGGAAGGGATAGCAATCATGGTCTTAGACAAAGCAAAGGAAAAAAACAGACCTAATTAAAAGAAATAAACAGGTAAACTACATTTTGCTTAAAAATACCACAGACAATAAATTCATATCAATATTAAACATATACGTATCCCTGCCAGATCTAGACAAACATAACCATAAAATAAATAAGAAAGAAGTTAAGAAATTAAATAGAATTTTAGAAAAGTTAAATATGATATCCCTCTAGAGAATATTGGATGGGAAAGGGAATAGGATTGGATAAGAATGGAATTGGATGGGAATAGAAAGGAAGAGGAAATAATCATTTATATGTTGTCTACCATGTGCCTGACACTGTGCTTTACTGTGTTATATGCTACAAAAAATTCAAGAATGATGAGGAGTGAAAAGGCATTTGATTTGACACTGTTATTGGTTGGTTCATAGGGAACAGCTTCAGTAGAATGATGTGGACAGAAGCCATATTACAGGTGGTGAGAAAGTAAAGATAGTGAATATAGACTACTCAGCAGAAGTTTAGCAATGAAAGTGAATAGAAAGGTAGGGCATTAGCTAAAGAATGCAGGGGAAAATATCCGAGTTTTTTGTTTGTTTTTTGTTTAAATGATGAAAGAGAACTGAGCACATTTCTACCCAGAAGGAAAGAAGCCACAGGAGGACCTGAGTTCAAATCCAGCCTCAGACCAAACACTTGACACTTACTAGCTGTGTGACCCTGGGCAAGTTACTTAACCCCAATTGCCTAAAAATAAAAAAAAAATTTCATTTTTAAAAAGCCAGCAGAAAAAGGTTTGAAATGCAGAGTAGGAGGATAGTGCATGGTAGATTAAAGTCCTGGAGGATCTTGAATGAGATAGGACAGAGCACAAATTTAGGGGTTAATTTGGGCAAGAAGCAGAGTAACTTCATCCTTCGAAAACAGAGAAAAGAAGGAAAGTATGGGGAAGACATACAGAGGTTTTGAGATATCAAAAAGATAAAACATGAAGCATGTCAGTTAGTCTCAATTTTCTCTATAAAGCAGGAGACACAGTAAGCTGAAAAAGAACTAAGAATGAAACTAGGTTTGAGAAGAGGATAACCTTTGCAACAGCAGCTATGGAAAATATAGAAAGGAATTAATTTTTAAAAGCAATGAGGGCCCAGTTAAAGTTTGATAGTACCATTGTTAATTACATGTAAAATTATATATGGTATACATTTTAAAGAAAAACTTACATTTTTCCTATACACAGTTAATTCTCCAGAATGGCTGAAGTATGAAATACACATGTGAGATACAAAATATAAATGATATTTCTAACAATTAAAACTTTTAAGAATCCTGAAGTCAGTAATCTATGCACCCATCACCCCTTCAGGTTCCTTACAATTAAAGGAGTCCATGAACTGGAAAACTTGGTAAGCTTTTTCTAAGATTTGATTTTAAGACTTCCCTATTTCCTTAAAGCTAGACAAAGCGATCAAATAAAAAACTAGAAACCACATAGTAGCTAGTCTATTTCATTTTGAAATAATTAATTTTTAGATTAATTATTAAAAAGCATACTTGTTACTCTTTAAACTTTACCCAGTTCACTTGATTTCTTCTGTAGCTCCAAGGTAAGAGTTTTCAACAGTTCTTCATTTTGCTCCAATCTTTTAAAATATATTTTAAAAATGTAAAATGTCAACTACAAATACACTTGAGTAAACAATTCAGTTATCTAAGGTCAGATTATATAAAAGACAGTCAGAACTTAAGTAATATATTTATTTGCCTACTTCATTTAAATGCAAAGATCCCTTTGAAATCAATAGGGATTTTACATTAATTCATTATCTATTCTTATAAATGTTTCTTTTGAAAATGTGATATTTTATTATTAAAAATGACTGAATGCTATCCTATATTGCCTTTATATAAAAATGTAAATCATATGCTTATAATCTTATTTCTTAAATTTTTACTCCAAACTAAATATTTAGGAAGAAATACAAAGAATTAGCATTTCATTCACTCAGTGTCATATGTAAGATGCACCTTGATATACAGGGTAACCCAGGGGTGGGAAACCTGTGGCCTTAAGGCCACATGTGGCCCTCTAGGTCCTCAAGTACAGCCCTTTTACTGAATCCAAACTTTACAGAACAAATTAGGTCCTCAAGTGTGGCCCTTTGAAAAAATCTAAACTTCACAGAACACTGTCAAAGGGCCACACTTGAGGACCTAAAGGGCCATATGTGGCCATGAGGCCACAGGTTCCCCACCCTTGATGTAACCTACTAAAAAGAAGATAGGTTTGAAAACTAGCTATATGAGTTGCACAATTCATTTAACCTCATCAGAGCTCATTTCCCTAAACTGTAAAAATGAAGGATTTGTACTTGATCACCAAGGTCCTTCCTAATTATAAAATTCTATTATTCGATGATCACAAAAATTTTCTCCTTATTGCATATTAAGATATGACCACATTTTTTACTAGATAATTCAGGATAGCAGATGGGCACAGTAGCCAGGGCAAGTGGGACAGTGACAGAGAGGATATGAAAGTTTAGTTCCTTTCCCTTCTTCACTGCCCCCAGACTGAGTCTAAGTCAGTTGTACAGTGAGGGAAAAATATTAAGAATACTGCTGAAGCTAGGATTATAATTTTTGGGAAGAACTTCATCTTTCTTCACCAGAGTCCCCAGATTGAGTCCTACAGCTGAACCTTGGGCTAGTGCCCCTTGAAAGCAGCTAAAGATAGATTGGGGGAGAAGAAAGAGGATAGTTGTAAGGGAGTGAAAACAGTCTTTTTTTTTCTTCAAGCCAGGGATTACTGGACTCCAAACTCTAAAAATACAACTAAAGCACCAAGAATTGCTCGAGAATTAGCATAAACATTATCCATCTTAGATATGTTCACAGTCAGTGGATGGCTAGGATCAAAATGATCAAAATCTAAGTGATCTCAAGTAGAAGGCATACATGCCCAAAAGCAAAGGATTTTTGAAGAAAATATTAATGCTACACAGATGATGAGACTTCTCAGTCAAGTCAAGTCAACAAGCATTTATTAAGTATTTTATGTGACTGGCACTATGCTAAGTATTGGAAATAGAGAGGCCTTCAAGGAGCTCACACATATTTCTCAGCTATGCTAGACACTGTGCTAAGTACTGGGGATTCAAAGAGATACAAAGTAATCCCTGTCCTCAGTGAGCCCACAATCTAATGGGAATAATAGCATTCAAAACACTTATGTAAAAAACAGCTATATACAGGGTAAATGGAAGGTAATCTCAGAGGGAAGGCATTATTGAAAGAAAATGGAAAAGGCTTTTCACAGAAGGGCAAATTTTAGCTAAGACCTGAAGAAAGCCAGGGATGATAGATAATTAAATCCATGGGAGTTGATGAGAATTCTTAGCTAAAATAGTATAGAGGGACAAGAGGACCCAGGTCCAAGCTTTGGGAAATACTGACAGTTCACATAACATAAGTAGACTGCTCAGCAGACCTCTATGTAAAACAATTTTTACATAATGTGAATTTGCCCTTACTCACCTACTTCACTTAGCCTATATAACAAAAGCACACACAAAATAATACCTTACACAAGTCATAAGTGTACTAAAATCAGACATAGTAAGTACTGTATCATGATAATAAACAGAATTATGAAATGGAAGGTAAATGATAAAGTATGCACAATATTATACAGTAAAGTTAGCATAGGTGTGTAGTATGTTGCCCCTTCCCCACCCACTGCACCTAAGCCTTTATCACTGGTGGGTGACTGGGCAACTTTTTTTATGAAGCCTTCCAGAGATATCTGTAGAGTGGCTCTCTTTTTTTCTTTGTATATCATAACAAGCAATATTATCAACTAGACTTTGAACTTTTAAAAATCTTGAAGTATTCTGATTCATCTTTTCAATAAGAGAAACAAATTCACTCAAATGATGAAATGCTTCTGCTGTTTCATTGTGAACCTTTTTGGTTTGACCTCAGGCTCCAAAGCTTTCCTTTCATTTTCTGCAATCTTTGCAGCTAGAAGTTCATTCAGATACTCATTTGACAATTCTTCTTCATGAGATGAAATCAACTCCTCCACATCATTTGGCTAGTTTTACAATCTTATTACTCACTTCTTTAAATAGTTCATCTTTGTCAATCCATAAATCAGAATGAACTGTGTGCACATTTTTCCAAACTATCTTCATACTTGTTTCAGTTATATCTTCCCATGCCTTAGCAATATATATAGCAAACATAATATTTGCATGGCAAATATCATAGGACTTCCAGAAATCTCTCAATGTCAAGTCCTTATCAGCATCCCAAAGCTACAATTCCCTAGGTAAATATAGTGCATAATCACTCCCTGATCCATAGGTTGTAATAATTAGGTAGTTTTAGGGGGGAAGGTGGACCATTTTTACATTTTCATTACAATCATCCAGATGGAGAATGTGACCTCAGGCATTATCAAAATAAGTAGAATCTTTAAAGGAATGCCATTATCATTACAGAACTTTTCAGTTTAGGGAACAGAGCATTGCATAAACAAGGGGTGGGGAACCTGAGGCCTCGAGGCCACATGCTGCCTTCTAGGTCCTCAAGTGTGGCCCTTTGACTGAATCCAAATAAATATTCTGTGAAGTTTAGGTTCAGTCAAAGGGCCGTACTTGAGGACCTAGAAGGTGGCCTCGAGGCCACAGGTTCCCCACTCCTGGATAAACCAGTGTTCAAAGACAATAATGCCTTTTTGTTGTTGTTCAGACATTTTTCAGGCCTGTCTGACTCTTCATGACCCCATCTGGGGTTTTCTTAACAAAGATACTGGAGTGGTTTGCCATTTCCTTCTCCTGCTCAGGAAACTGAGGCAAACAGGGTTAAGTGATTTGCCCAGGATCACATAGCTAATAAGTATCTGAGAACAGAGATTTGTTGTTGTTGTTTTGGGGAAGAGGAGCAAGGCGATTGGGGTTAAGTGACTTGCCCAGAGTCACACAGCTAGTAAGTGTTACGTGTCTGAAGTTGGATTTGAACTCAAGTCCTCCTGACTCTAGGGCTAGCACTCTATCCACAACACCACCTAGCTGCCCTGAGGCCAGAGTTTTAAACTCGGATAGATGAGTCTTAGTGATTCTAGATTTGGTACACTATCCACTACACCACCTAACTGCCCCATGCCTTAAGGTTAGTGAAACAATGCACCAGTAATATTGCCTCGGTGATTCCTTTCAATGCTCTGGGATTTTCTGAGTGGTGCATAAGGCAAGTCTTAATCTGCAAGTTCCAGATGCATTGCCTCCAAGCAGAAGAGTAACCATTTTTTGAAGCTTTATGCCCCAGTATAGTTTTTTCCCTCCACAAAGATGTAGGTTTAAGGTCACATTCTTTGATCAAGTAGGATGGTTTCATCTACATTAAAGATTTGCTCTGGGAAGCAGGGACCTTCATCTATTATTTTTTTGCATTTTTACCTTTAAATCTTCAAAAAGGTATTGAGGCTTGGCTTGAATTGCCATAAAGCTTAAAAGAATATTCTTCTAAGTCTGGTCTTCTGTCCACATGGTTAATAGTTTTTCCATTTATAGAACAGCCCTTTCTCTTTGTTTTGACAGATAAATCAACTTCATGCAAGTACTGCCTTTTGTGTGCTCCTTTTTCTGGGCAACATCCTTCACCATAGTATTCAGAGTCGACACTGCAAGACTAAGTTCATGTGCTACTGATGACAATTTTTGGCTTTCATATTTTCTAATTATTTTCATTTTCATTTCCAATTCTATTAGCTTATGCTTATGACAATTCACTTTTCCTCTCCAGCACATTTGCTGCCAGCCATGGTGAAAATATAAAAATCACTACTGAATGCAGGAAAGGGAACAGTATCACTTACTGTCTGCAGACAACCGGGAACTTACTCAGAGATGCTTCCAGTTTACATTGCCCACATCATACAGTGTCTTATTGTATAGTGTCTGCTTTGTATAAGGAATTTTCATAATTTTTTTTTTGGAATGTGGATTTCTTTGGAATTCTTTACATAAAGTGGAATTTGCATAATGTGAAATTATGTAAAGCAAGAACTGTCTATACCCATAGCAGTGGGCCTGAACTGAATAAAGATCCAGCAAAAGAGACTAAGAAGGATCAGTCAGAAAGTTAGGAGAAGAACCGGGAGAAAGAAGTGTAGAAAAAATCTAGAGAGAAGAGAATATCAAGGAGAAGGTGATTAACAGCACAAAAAGCTGCAGAGATGTCAAGAAGGATGAGGATTGAGAAAGGGCCGTTAGAATTGTCAATTAAGAGATAAATGACAATTTTGAAGATTGTGAGCTCCTTGATACATTTTTTACCTTTAGCTATATCCCCAAGCACAGTGCTTGGCACTTTCTTACTTGGCTGCTCTAAGTTGGGACAGCTTTGACTTCTCCACCATGTGCCAAACAAGCTCATTGTTGTGAAAACCTCATCACCTTACAAGATCTCATCACCTTTAGGACTCCCCCTCATCACCAATCCCCGTCCCTCTGATTGCAAGATGAAGCAATGAACCCCAAAACCTCCACATAAAGAGGTAGCTCAGATCAGAAAAAAATTCCTCATTTCTCACCTGGCTACACTACTTTTTGGGACTTCTTTGATTTTTCCACCATGCCCTCGCATCTGGTAGCTTTCTTGGCTGCACTCCCTTCCCCACTTTTCACCTTCCTTTTATGAGTAATTTTCCCCTGTTAGATTGTAAACTCTGTGAGGGCAGGGACTTTTTTTCATATTTGTATCCCCAGCACTTAGCACAGTGCCTGACATATAGTAGACATTTAATAAATGTTCATTTACTGACATCTTAGGTGACTGACTGATTTTGAAAAGAGAAGTTCCAGTTGAACAATGAGTTTGGAAACCAGACTGCGGAAAGTTCAGGGAAAGAAGTGGAGGCCCTGATTGCAGAGGACTTTCTCAAGGAATTCAGCTATGAAATGAAGGAGATACATAAGACAACAGCTAGTGGGGATTAATGGATAAAATTAAGGGTTTTTTAAAGACTGGGGAGACAGGGACATGTTTGTAGGCAGTAGAGAAGCAGCCAATAAACAGGGAAAGATTGAAAGTTAGTGAAATAGTGAGAATTATAGAGGGAACAATATACTGAAGATGAGACAGAATGAGATAATGCATACATATAGAAGAGTTCACCTTGGCAAAGAGAAAGGCCACATCTTCATGCAAGATAATGGTAAAGAATATAGTGAAGAATAGCATCTGAATGATGTGAGATAAAGAGGAAGGTGAAGAGAGAGCTCTCAATGGATAATCTCAATTTTTTAGTGATGTGTGAGGCAAGATTATAAGATTCTAAGCTGAGAGGGTGGAAAGAAAGGGAACAATGGGGTGTTTGAGAAAGGAGAAAAAGGTTTGGAAAAGCTACTATAATGACTGGGATAATCAAATAATAATATGTAAAAGAACTGCCTTGCTTCAGTGAGGGCCTCTTTAATTTCTTCATTCCAAATCATGTTTTTCAATTTTTACTGTCCTCCTCTGTGACCGCCTTTAATAAAGTCACTCACTATTAACAAAGTTGATAGACAGAAAAAGTCAATTTTGGTGGGGTTGATGGAGGCCAGGCTCAGTAACACATTGTTAGTGGAGCTATGAATTCATTCTTGTAAAAAACAATTTGAAATAATTATGTGAGAAAATGAATACATGGATAAAAAATATTTTTTCAGCGCTTACTAGATACCAAGCACTGCACCAATTGTTGGAATGCAAACACAAAAGCAAAATAGTCTCAGTCTTCACAAGACATACTGGTAGGAGGAGATAATACATATATAGTATTCCCTCTGTACTCATTCTCACAACTCAAACTGTCTAATTAGGCTAGGCCCTGAAAGGGCAATGACTATTACTTCTTCCCTCAGGGATCCAGGAGTAACCCTGAGGGTCTCTAGGGTTTTTAGTATTGTGGTACGAGTCCCCTCTGGTGTGCTCCCCATTGATTAGCAACCAGTTAATTAGCTTTTAGAAAAGAGCTAAGTTAATATAATAAGAACAGTTGGCATAAAATATTTGCCCCCTCCCCCAAAACTTTGGGGCATACTCTTACATGAGTACACACAGAGCCTAAAAGCTTAAGAGTATAATGATGACGAGGATATATGCAGACAATGTATGTGTGGCCAAAAGACTAAATCACAACTTCTGGTTACTCTTAAGTCCTTTCTTGAGTCTTTCGATGGTATTCTTTTTTGGTTCAAGGTATTACATACCTTTAACCTGTTTCTGCCCCCAGGTTGCTTTCTTTCTATACCATTCTATGTCTGCATTTGCTCATGGTTCTCCTCAGTGTGTGTCTCTCTATTCCATATTGCATGAGTTGTCGCCCCTTGTCCTTCTCTCTCTAATGACTCAGTCAGTGGAAGGAGGGGAAGAAAGAATGAGTTCTCCCTTCTACGTAAGAGTAGCTCTCCTTCAGGCTTGGCTTGAACAAGAACCCTTGACTCCAGAACTGAATCCTCCACTGCTGGCCTGTACACTTTGGGACTGAGCTCACCAATGAACTGACTGCCATTTTATATATGTTCAATGACTGATCTCAGCCAATCTTCCTCTCATTGACTGTCCAACAATGAGCCCCAGACCAAGCCCTACTAGATCACTGCTTGGGTCCTGATAGCTCAGAATGAATGTAAATAGCAATTGTTTCTGTTTTGGCCAGAAATCCTGAGGGTCTTCCCCTATCAAGTTGATTTTTTTTTAACTAGGTAAAAGAGGCCACTCTTTGCTTCATTTCTTACCTAGCCTTAATCACTAAGTGGGTGTTTGCCTCAAACTGAGACCCATTAAAGACCTTAGCTTAAAAGGGCCAAGGTCACCCACTGCATCCAGGGCCATCTCCAGTCATCTTAGCTATCTTGCCACTGGACCCAGACGGCTCTGGAGAAGAAAGTGAGGCTGGTGACTTTTCACAGCTCTCACTCAAATCCAATTCATGTGCATGTCATGGCATCACCGCCCTGATGTCATGATCCTCTTCAGAATGAAAGACAAACACCAACAACCTTCTCAGCCAATCACATCATTTCTTCCTTGACCCAATCAAAATACTCATACCTCATAAAGTGATCACAGGGTATGAAGCATTTTGTTTTTATACTTAAATTTTCATCAGGTTCTTTGATTTATTTATTAAATGTGGTAAGAGAGGAATCCTATCCTGAAACATAAAGTATAATAGAGTAGTGGCTAGACATTATAAAACTAAATGATTGTTATTACTAGCTAATATTTATATAATACTTTAAGGATGTTTTAGTTTGGAAAGTCACAAGGTTGCTGAGTGGACTCATAGGGGAGTCAACTGAAACACTCTTTCCATAATCAATGGTAGTACTGATTTGATGAAGCTATCCAAAGTAAGAGGTGAAAGGGGAAGAAAAGGAGAAAGGAAAATATGCCTAGAGCAGCAGTGAAGATGTCAACATCATAGACAAGGTAGATGATTGGACAGGATGGGAAGCATGGCCTCAGATCTAGGACCCACTATATATAGTAGGCTATGTTTGGCTGTACAGACTAATTCACCATTAAGATTAGGCCCCAGGAGAGTTGTTACAAAGGTGACTACACTGTCTCTACTGACTCCTACATAACCTCCTTTTGGGGATTTGAAGCTGCTCACAGCCTGGTTCCAACCTATATCTCCACACTCATATATCACTCCCCTCCCAGGATTCTATGGTCCAATCAAACTGGCCTTGTCTCTGTTCCTTACATGTTCCATCTCCCATTTCCATGTCTGTGTACTAGCTTTCCCCAAAAGGGACAGTTCTCTGTTTCATAACCCTAACCCTCATTACCTAAGTACCACCTTTTATATGAAGGCTTTCCTGATTTCCCCAACTACTAGTAATCATCCCCCCTAACTACTTTGCATTTAACTTTCTTCAATTTATTTTGTACCTATTCTGTATATATTTATTCTGTATATATGTATATATATAAATGCGTGTACATGTATTATAAGTGTATGTTATCTCCCTCCATAGAGTACAAGAGCACCTTGGGAGCAGAGACTGTTTACCTTTTGGGGTTTTTTTTTTACCTCCTAATAGCAGCAGCATTAATATAAGGCTTTAAGCTCTTATATTAATGAAATGATACAGAGTAAAGAAAGCAAAATCAGGACAACAATATACATAATGAGTACATTATTATAGGTACTGTACAAATTGTTTACCTGCTTTTGCATATTTCATGCTGTATCAATTCATTCAATTCTTCCTATATTTTCCTGAATTCTTCATATTCATTGTTTCTTAAGAATCAATAATATTCCATTACATTCATATACCACAATTTGTTCAACCATTCCCCAACTGATGGGTACTCATTTTCCTTTTAGTTCTTTGTTACTATAAAACAATGCTGCTATTAATAGCTTTGTCTATATACAAAGACCTTTCCCTATATATTTGATATCATTGAAGTATATGCCTAACATACTAACATCATTGGGTCAAAGGAAATGTATAGTTTAATAACTTTTCTAGCATAATTTCAAATATTTCCAGAATGATTGGACCAAGTAGACTATGTGCTTGTCTTCCAACAGCCCTTGCCATTTTTGTTCTTTGTCATCTCTGACAATAAATATCATTAGTGTGACGTAACATCTTAGAATCGTTTTAATTCATATTTCTGCTCTTACTGATGATTTGGAGCATTCTTTCATATGACTGTTAATGGCTGGCATTTCTTCATTTGAAATCTGCCTATCCATATTCTTTAACCATTTGCATAGTAGGGATTAGCTCTTATTCTTACATGTTTATGTCAATTCCTTATGTATCTTGATATTATAGTAATTTTTCACAAATTATCCTCAATTTAGTTTATTAGCAGACAGTCATTCACAAAGCAATCTACAAATACTATTAAGTTTGTCTAATGGCTATGTTCAAGGCCCTTTGAGCCTCAAGCAGAGCCTACTTAGAACTTTCCCTAACATACCTCCCTATCTAGGATAAGTCTCTAAAAATGAGGACTATTCCAATAAAACACTGATGTTCTGTTCATCTGAACCATACACAAGGGGAATAAAGTATAATTGCTATAAGAAGTTAATTTTATAATTAGTAGAAAATACTCAATGTATAATAAAAGTAGGTGAATTTTCATTATGCTAAATCTAAAGTTGTATTTTGTTATTGTTTTCACCTGTGCTGTTCTCTTCTCAACAATTCCTTCAAGTTGGAAATAGTAGTTTCAAATTCAGCAATGACTGATGAATGTGTAACCTTAGCTTCACTCATTTCTTCCATTTGAGCTTCTTTTTCTCTTGTAAGCTGAATTATTGTTTTGCCTGCAGTCTGTAATTCTTCCTCTAATATCTTCTGAGAACTCTAAAATGAATAAAATACAAAACAAAAAGACATATTTAAAACACATTTAAAAAGAAAAATGTTGGGTTTTTGCTTGTTTTTGAGACTAGGTCTCTCTCTCTCTCCTAAGCTAGAAGTACAGCAGCCACTCACAGTCCAATCCTAATGTTGATACATGTGGAAGCTTTGACCTGCTCCATTTCCAATCTGGGAAGATTTGCTCCTCCTTAGGTATCCTGGTGGCCTCCACTCCTGGAGTCTGACCATATTGGCAGAAGACTCAATAAGCTTTAGCCCTACTACATCTCAGAACTTCTGAACTCAAGGGATCTGCCAGCCTCAGCCTATAGGCATGCACAACCTAGCAAAAAGAAAAGCTTAAATATATAAATGTTATGTTCCAGTCTCTGTAATTTGCCTCTATATGATATGACATCTCATATCTATTAACTGTAGTAAGGGTTGAGAACTGATTGGCATCTTTGGATTTGTAGTTCACAGGATCAGGCATTCCCCTTCTCAAGATAGAATTTCCCACCTTAACATCAACTGGGCATTTTTGTGATCTTTGAGCCAGAAGGCAAAATTGAGCCACACTCTGAACTTACACAATCTATGAAATTCTCACTGAGAAGAAAAAAAATTGTGGAGACTTCAGTAGATAAACAGCAGCAGCAATAAGGTCAGCCTCCCCAGCTCTAAGACAGAAAGAATTAGCAACACAAGGACCACAGGAAAAAAGAACAACAAATTGAACTGGGTTGTGGCAAAGAAGGGAGAGATCAAGGAAGACTATAGGCCTTAGAGGTATCTTAGAATAAAAGACTATAGAGCAACTAGATGGTGCAGTGGATAGAGCACCAGCCCTGGATTCAGGGGGACCTGAAATCAAATCCAGCCTCAGACACATAACACTTATGAGCTGTGTGACCCTGGGCAAGTCACTTAACCCCATTGCCTAGCCAAAAAAAAAAAAAGAATAAAAGACTTGATATCACCAGTTTTACCCACTTCTTCCCAGACTGAGGGAAGTCCAAGATGTCTACTCTTTCCCAGGTTCCCCTTCTGATGCCTATCTATTAACAGACACTATAACATACTTTGCTCATTTCTTTACCCAAATGTTTTCAAGAACCTGGATTTTGACTCAACTATAGGATGTGAGAGATAAAAATAAATTGAAATTAAGGCAGAGAGCCAAGCCTCTACCTAAACATTAGGAATTTTCCCAACTAGAGATTCTGAGCAATTGTGATTGTAGTCATAACTTTTAATATAAAATTAATAAAACAGCATAGAAGATTCCAGGGAGCTAAGGGGTTTTTATATTGCCCTTGGGCTTAAAAAATGAACTAATTGGCGTACCAAAGGGAGGCTGACTAAATTTCCAAAGACTAAGGGGAGGTAGGGAGGAGAATTGGTAACTTTCAGTATTAATTCGCACCCTCCTCCATCATACCATGTCCACTTGGTATTACATTGGGAGTACAATAAATGTTGAGCTCTACCATTGTACCTTTCCTTCAAAGCCCAGCTAAAGTCCTTTCTCCAATGGAATACTTTCTTAAATTTCTCCAACCCACAATGATCCTTGCTTCTCTGAATTCATATACCATTTTGCTTAAACCAACATTTATTAAGACCTGACTGTATTCAGGGCCCTATTTGAAACAATGTAGAGGACACAAAGATTGAAGGAAACACGATCCTTGGACTCACTGAGTTTACATTCCAACCAGGAGACAAGATATGATACATATTTCAAAAATTATAGTACCAAATGATGCATAAGTAATATAAAATAATCCATTTATTGCCTATATTACTTATTTTACACATAACTATATTTTATTGTTTCATTTTCATCTTTATATCCCTAACTTGTAATATAGTGCTTGAGACATAGGAGGTAATTAATAAATACTTGGTAACTACTGATGATTACCTTTTTAGATTTTGTCTCACCACCTAGACTATGAACTCTTTGAGGTCAAGGACTATGTCTTATATCTCCTTAGTTTTCACTTTATCATGCACAAAGTAGTATTCAAAAAATGTCTGTTCACTGGGTTTTACTGCCTATAAAGAATATTTAAAATAACATAAAACATACCTCACTTTTTTGCAAAGACATTTTAATTTCTTCTAATTTTGACATCAAGTGATCCTGTTGGTCTTTGGATTCTTTTAAGTTTTCATTTTGCCATTCTAAAAAAATTATTTTTACATAAAGAAATATCAAATGTTAGTGGAAAACATATACTAAGAGAATATATTTACCCTATTTATTTAATATTTTAAGGATCTTTAGGGTTGGCATTCTCTCTATCAAAATGAATCATAACCCCTCTGAGACAGTTTACGAGAGTGGCTGTGACTGATCTAGTGATGAGTTTTATTAGCTTTTATCTGTGAGGAGTGTCACTTAGAGAAAAAGATCAGTAATTTAAGGGACTTAGAAATCAGTTTTGTCTAGAGTAGTCAATTCACTTGGTTAGAGCATATGCCACTAATAGTACTGCAGATTTGATACCTGTAAAGTCAGTTGGTTTCATTCAAAGAAAAAAAATCTTCTGTAAACTACTTTGTGAAAGCAGCAGTAGCTTTAAGAGCTCTGAACCCACAGACAGTAAGGGGGTGGGACAACTGGTCAGAAGGAGATTATGGGAACTCTTTGTTGGTACTGGGTGCATGACTCTGTTGCATTGCCCATGCTTAGTTCCAGATCCCAGTCACAGGGACAAAGAAGAGCATTAGCTCATTGGCACTTGTGACCACAGGAGTGCAGGGCCCTGGTCACAGTTCCATAATGGAGAAGAGCACTTCTGGTGGATCACAGACCACAGCACAGGCCAGTAAAGCAGTACCACATCTCTCCTTAGATCATACCACCTTTGAAGAACCAAACACTTACAGTCCCCCAGAGCTAGCTCTGAAAATAGCAGCATGAAATAATTCAAGCTTGAGACAGTGCCCCTTTACTCCAAGAGCACAGCCCAACTTTAACACAAAGTTAAAAATCAAAAAATAGGCTAGAAAATGAGCAAAAACCAAAATCTGTCTAGAGGAACAAAAGGTCAAGAATATCAAAGGAATCAATGAAAAAAAAAGTGAAGGAAGTTGCCCAGCAGTACTAGATCTCAAACTTTATTACAAAGCAGCAACTATCAAAATAATCTGGTACTGGAGAAGAAATAAAGTAGTGCACCAGTGAGACAGATTGGGTACACAATATAGACACATATCAGAGATATTGTGGGTTTAGTTCCAGATCACCACAATATAGAGATTATCACTAAAAAAGCAAGTCACATGGATTTTTTTTATTTCCCAGTGCATATAAAAGTTATATTTACATTATTTTTGTTGTTCAGTCATTCAGTCATATCTGACTCCAGATGTCCCCATGAACATTGTCCAAGGGGTTTTCTTGGCAAAGATACTAGAATAGTTTGCCATTTCCTTTTGCAGTGTGTCTCCATTTCACAGATGAGGAACTGAGGCAAAGCAGTTTTTAGAAGAAATCAAAGATATATACATATCCATATGAAAAAAGCCTCCAAATAGCTATTGATTAGAAAAATGCAAAGTAAAACCACCTCACATTTATCAGATTGGCTAACATGATAGAAAAGGAAAATGACAAATGTTGGAGGGAATGTGGAAAAATTGGGACGCTAATGCACTATTGGTGGAGTTGTGAACTGACTGAACCATTCTGGAGAACAATTTGGAACTATGCCCAAAGGGCCACAAAACTGTGCATACCCAGCAATGCCACTACTGGGTCTGTATCCCAAAGAGGTTAAAAAAAGAAAGACACTGTATTTTGACCCCAACATAGTGATGTCATTTTGGTCCTCTTTGAGAACAAAGGACAACAACGAACCAATCATTTTCATTAGGAAAACTGCCATTAGGTTCTCTGAAAAAGTAAAAAGTGAATTTTCTAAGAAAGATAGCAAGATGCAGTGGAAAGGGCACTGAATTTACCAAGGACCCAGGTATATACCCTATTTCTGACACTCATTCAGCGGGACCTGGGGCAAGTCACTTCTCTGCTCTGAATATTTCCTTATCTATAATGGAGGATAGTAAAACTTACACTACCTACCACAAAGAATTATTTTTGTGATAAAGATGCTTCATACAGCTTAAATGGCCAAAGAAGTGTGCTGTTATTATTCTGAGAAAAGTGAGATGCAATGCAACACACCAAAAAAAGTGCAATAATCATTTACAGGACTGATAGGTTGTAAGCACAAAAGAGAAACAAAACCTGGAAACAGATTATACAGCAAGCCCACTTAATACTTTACTGAAAAAAAAATAAAACCATTCACCAAGAGTTTCTCTTTTTCCCCCTCTTCATCTCACATCATTCAGACATCTCTCCCTTTTAAAAGCCTCATGAGAATGTACTCTCCTTGAGAAGGCAGTGTTTTTTGCCTTTTTTTGAATCACCAGTGCTTAGCACAGTGCCTGGAACATAGCAGATACTTAATAAATGCTTTTTAACTGATGTCAGTCAGTTCTGTGCACATTACACATTACCTTTTCTGATATGTTTAACTAACATCTGCAAAGAGACTTAAGCTAAGAATTTACAACTGAAAATTTTTCTACAATCAATGCCATAAATTCCCTAGTGATTTTGCTAAAATTTAATTTCATTTAGAATTAAACTATTCATTATTTCTTATAAAAATTAATGAATTTAATGTAAAGAAGAAATATTTAAGTACTCACAATAAACTAATCTGACATACAATAATATTGCCTATGGTCAAACAACCCATTTTCAGGAACCATAGTTTGTAGCATTTCTTAGACTGAAACACAGCTTGTATAGATTTGGTAAAATTCCCATTGAAAGGTATTTCATAATCCATGCACCTGTTTTGAATTTCAAAATTAAAAAGCCTTATAATAGTTATGAACTGGATACATATTATAAAAATTTCAACATTAAAATTCTTACTTAATTTTTCTTGAAATTGATTAACTTTATCATCGTATTCTTGTAGCAGCGATTTTAAATCTTTAATTTTCATTTCTTTCTCATCATTCTGTATCAATAATAGTGATACCTAATGAAATAAAAATAAATTCTATGTATCAACATTTTAACAAAGTTTTCTTTATTTTCAAATCTTCAATCCCCAAATCTTAAAAGTGAAATTAGTCTTATGTATATTCATCAAATATTTAAAAGAATCCTTTTAAAGTGAGCTAAAATAAAAGAAGTTAGGTAATTCAAATTTTGAATTTTCAGATAAAGTAGATTATTGAAGTGAACCAATTGCTAATGATATTAAATTTTCTGTATAATTATGAATTCTATAGACAAGTCATTTTATATATATGTGTGTGTGGGTGGGTGGGTATATATACATACGTGTGTATATGTTTAAACAAACACACAAAAATAATCAAGTAGAAAAGAAGTAGATTTCTAAAATGTCTTCTACTAAAATAACGTAAACTTTTTCCATTGAACTCAGTTGAATGCCAAAAAGGAAAAATGCTATACAAATTTTAAAATAGTCTAAGTCGCCTCTTTATTCTGGGGTATAATAACTGTCTAGCTAAAGAGGCAAAGAGAAGTCTCTTTCAGGTGTGATGTGGTAGAAAGAGTACTGGACTTGGAATCAAAAGTGGTAGATTCAGTTTCTTTATTATGTCATTTACTAACTGTGTGACCTTTACCAAATTATTTCAGCACTTTAAACCTGTTTCTTCATTTACAAAATCAGAGGCTTAGACTAAAGTCTCTTCTAGTTTTGATAATCTATGATTCCATAGCCCCTCATGGGTAAAGGATTAATAAACAACCCTGAGTTCCCAGTATACCCAGTGATTTTTCTTGTTGTTCAGTCATTTTTTGTCACGTCCAACTTTTCATGATCCCATTTGGAGTTTTCTTGTCAAAGATACTAGAGTGGTTTGCCATTTCCTTCTCTAGATTATTTTACAGATGAGGAAACTGAGGTAAAGAGTTAAGTGACTCACCCAGAGTCATACAGCTAGTAATTGTCTGAGGCCAGAGATTTGACTCAGGAAGATGAGTCATTCTGACTCCACGCCAGGCACTCTATCCACCTCATTCACCATGTGATGATGTGATCATAATTGTGATGCAACCACTTAAATAATGATATGTAGATAGATAGATAAGATGAGATGATATTAGATGAGATGATATGAGATAGATATAAAATTTCAGTTATCCACAGTTGAGTTATCTGCGGATATTTAGAAAGGCCTGCCAAAGATTACAAAGTTTTGGACAACAAAGGCAATTCTAGGGGCAGCTAGGTGGTGCAGTGGATAAAGCAACAGCCCTGGAGTCAGAAAGACCTGAGTTTAAATGCAGTCTCAGACACTTGATGCTTACTGCCTGTGTGACCCTGGGCAAGTCACTTAACCTCATTGCCTAGCCAAAAAAAGAAAATTCTAGAGGACCAGTTGGTGTTTTCATCACTTCTACCAACTGAAGGCAAGAGATATAGAAGAGAAAAACTGATGAGGAAAGTTGTGTCTGAGAAAATAGGATTTGGATTTCTGAACCATTGCTAAAAATGAAGGAATGACAGGTTCCTAGAGAGGAATGGAGTACACCTAACCAAAGCTGATAACAATGTATTTGAATAGTGGAGACGATTTGGTTAAAAATCAATGGAGTGAGAAATAGAAGTGATTTTTCAAAACCATTTTGACAGAGAAAAAGAGGTTTTCCAAATAAATTATAATCCTGGCATGAAGACATGGTATAGTGGTGATGTGAATCGGCACTTGCCTAGACAACTAACTGCTAGAGTGTGCTCTCTGTCAAAAGTAGAGCAGATAATCTCATATCTTATATGAATTTGCTGTGATCTCTCAAAAATGTTAGAGGAACCAAAAATTTCTTAATTCAATTTTCATGAAAAAGTAGGTGTATGGAACAATCAAGTGTTTTCTACAGATAATGTTCTATTATCTCATTGTTAGGAGGGAAAGTAGGAAATGGCCACAGGCAGATAATGAAAGCATTAGTAAATAAACTTAATGGAAATTTTGTGAGCCTATGAACATTTGTGGGCCAAGGACTGGAAAATCCATGAGAATGGAAGTTTTAAAAAATTTTAAATCTTCATTCTATTAAAATTTCTCCATCAAACCAAATTAAATAGTTGGAAGATAAATTACAAGTGATTTTAGGCAGGGGAAGGGGAGATTTCACATTTCATAAATACATATAGTTGCTTAAAAAAAACCACAAACCTTCTTTTCCTTATCATGGACTTCTTTTACATGTTCTTCTTCAAGTTGCTGAATTTTTTCACATGCTTCCTTTACTTTAGAGATAAAATAAAATCCACTCAAGATATAAAATTAAAATATGCTTCAAAGACTTGAAATATTTGGATAACTTCCCATTCTTATCTCAATATTTAGAGTTCACAAGCTTTTGCTTTACAATCTTATGTATTTTGGTTTTATGTTAAATATCAGAAATTCACACTCAATTGTTACTGTCACCTTGAATAATAACTGCTCATATTAACATAGTGCATTAAGATTTGTAATTCTTCACCTGTCAATAATGACCTTCCCTATCTAGCTCCTTATACTGAGCTTTGCTTGCATAATACTTGTCATGTATCAACTTGTGCTATATAGCATAAATATTCTAACAGGTATTTAATATTAAATATTACAATAAATACTTACTGAAATGAAAACAATCAGAGTCACTTTAGAAATTATCCAAATTATCTTGCTAGCACATATTTTATAAAACAGATTTTATTCTTTTCGACTCTTTAATAAGCAGAACAGTATAACTATCTCTGATATAAAACTGGTATGCCTTATTTGAATGTACATATGTTAATAATTTGTATGTTTTAATTAAAATATCATAATGACAATAATCGGAAAATATTTTAATCTAGTAATAAGTATATTGCACTAGAAATCAATAAAAATTCAAAACTTAAAAGTAAAAAAAATCATTGATAGTATCAATTGATAATCTATAACCCCTAAATTCATGTCTAAATTATATATTACATCTCATCTCTTATCTTATGACATAACTGCTACAAGAAGAGCATTATAAATATTAAACAGGATCCTTACACTTAAAATGCATTTCCTGTCTGCAACTTTCAGCTCCTACTCGAAGCTCTTCAAAAGCTTGTATCATTTTCTGCAATACAAAATATAACTTTTAAAGATTATGTTTGGAATCTTGAAATATGACAGCTTGCAGAAAATGACTCAAATTTAAATATTAGATCATAGGATATACAAATAAACATAATCTGTATTTAGCAGTGATTATATAAATAAAATTTTGGAACCCTTTAAGACATCATAAAGACAGAATTCTTAAAATCATATTTGGACCAGCTGTTATTGGTGGTACTACCACCAGGTACTTTTGCAAAATAAACTGCAAAATAAATAAGTTTTATCTCTGGTGCCCATGTATCCCCTTCCTTAAAATAAAAAACCCTGACTTTATCTTTTTATTATCCCTATTAGGTATCATCCTCTATTTCTCCTTCCCTTCTCAGCTAAAATCCTTGAAAAATTTATTTATACTCAGAGCCTACACCTCCTCTCTCACTCACTAAAGCAGCACCTTCAACATGAAGCCTTTGCTAACCACCACACACACACACACACACACACACACACACATCCATTACTCATACCTTCCACTGCTCCAAATTATCTTGTTTCCATATTTTATATATTTTATTTATACTTACTTATGGATACATTGCCTCCCACACCCCCACTAAACTCTAAATTCTTGAGGGCAAGAACTGTCTCTTTTTTTACTCTGTCTCCTCAATATATGGCATTGTGGAGTCACTAAATAGCTATTAAACTTGTTAATTGAATTGATGTTTAAAAGGTCATGGAAATTTTGATGGAATTAACATTTTTTTAAATAACAAAACTTCACCTAACAAAATTATTTATAAAATGACTAAGTTTTTAAATGAATAATTTGTCCATATGTTCCTGATAACCAAACTGCTCTGTATTAGGAAAGTCTCTGCCCACTTTTAAATTTAAAATTCTAAAGTTTTTCTACAACTTACCTCAATATTATTATTTAGATCTGAATATAGTTGTCTAGTTTCTTCCCTTTCGTACTCATCTATTATTAATATAAAAAATTAAGTTTAAAAAATGAATACAAATGTATCATGACTAAAGATACACAGAACATCTTAAAATATCAAATTGGGTCAAACCAATAGGTGAATGAACTATGCAGTCTAGCATTCTATCTGTGAGGGAAGCACAAAGGGTCGTTTTGGGGCAAGTACATTTACTCTTCATGATGTCAGCCCCAAAAAAATTTTAGCTCTTCCAAATGACCAAAATTCTGGTCCCAGACCTAACTTACTACATTACCTTAAGCATAATACTTTACTTTTGGGGCTTACGTTTCCTCTCCTGAGAAAAAAAAATGGACTAGATGATATATAAGGTTCCTTCTAATACTAGATAATATTCTTCAATCCTTAGTTTAATTCAAACATTAATTCAACATTTACTACCAAATATTACATAATAGGCACTGTGCTAGGTGCTTGTTCCTTTAATATAATCAAATATATAATTATTATCCATAAATTTACCTAAACCTTCTTGATTGCATTTCAATTAGTCTATATGACCTCGACCTTTAGAACCCAATATATAAAATAACATCTCTATTTATCTTGAAAATACACCTTTCAAACCCGAAGAGGTAGCTCTTTCAGTTCTACTGTAGGGGAATTGGTAAATAAATTCATGTTCAACCAACCTATATTCTTCATGATTTTTAAAATTTCAGTCACATGCTTTCTTGTTATCTGACTTTCCAGACTGAATTTCTTCATCTATTCTCTATCCTCATAACATTCAAAGGAAGATTAGAAAACACCAAAATAACAGTACAATGTGCTTCTTCCTAGTTAATCCCCAATTATCTCTCTCCCTCATACACACAAATACACACAACACACACACACATACATACAACAATAACAATATCCAAAACAAAACAAATTAAAACAAGCAGCAAGAAAATTTTAAAAATCAATGAAAAATCTTAAAATTAAAAAACCAGGTTCAATTAGCAAGTATTGCAACATAGATTAGTAGAAACAAGAAGATAAGTACAATGGCAGAAACTCCAACATCAACTAAACTCATAGGCAAATGCAAATAAAGTCACATTCAGTACTTTTAAAAAGATAAAGGAAAAAATAATTCCTGCAAAAAAAAACAATAAACATAACACACCATTATAATCATTGAGACCTAGAACTGTAGAGTTAGCAATGAGATTATAAACAGCCCAACTCCTTTATTTTATAAACGAGGAAATGGGTTTTGATGACAGAATAAAAATATAGCAGTAAACTAGTAATATACACTAAAAAAACATAATATAATAGATTTAAAACTAAAAAGGATCTTAAAGGCCACTGAGTTCCTCCTTTTACAGATAAGAAAACTGAAGTAAAGAGAAACAAAATTACTTGCCTAGTGTCACATAGTTGATAAATGCCTGAGGCAAGATTTGAACCCAAATCTTCCTAAGGGTCCAATGCCCTATCAACTATCCCATGCTATCTATCTCTCATAACAGATACCTTAAAGAACATGACTGATAGGAAACAACAAAGAATCAGTGATTCTTAAGGAAAACTAGCACAGCAAATCCAAAGGTATTAGTTCATTCAGTCATTCAGTTATTCATATTCTACTTCCAACACAAAGTGTTAACTTACAGTACAAACAGGATGGGGGATGCTGTAAATTACCACTAGACGGGAGGTGAAAACCAAGGACAGTCCCATAGGATCCAATAAGCTATCCAGAACCAACACTAGAAGATATCACACCAGTGCCCACCAGGAATAGGGAAAGTATAGAAAATAATACAGATGTTTTATATGTCTTTCATTCCTTTACTATCCTGGCATTATCCTTGGATAGTTCATAGCAAAATTACTAAATATTTCAAATGGGTATTTCACAGAAGGGGACAGAGAAGAAAAACAAGTTAAAGGGAAAGGGAGTAAGGCAATCCTTAAGAGACATAATTATTATTTATAAGTTAAATAAATCTTAAAAATTATTAATATCTTACAAGACAGAGGAATTAAGTTTGGAGTGAATCTGAGAAAGTTATTTTATTGAGTGATAGAATTTGGTCCCAAAAGACCTTAACAGTTTAGAATGAAGAGCCAAATCTAATCAAATGAACAGTCCTTCACTTAAGTTCAAATAAGTCAACTGCACATGAATGGGATGGGGAAGGTATGTCTAGACCACAGTTCACGTGGAAGAAATCTGAAGATGTTAGTGGGTACAGCTCAATATGAGTCAACAATGAGAACTGGAAGTCAAAAAAACTAATAAGATCTAAGTTACATTTATAAAAGCAGTTTTCAGAATAAGTGAGGAGCTACTGTATTCTGCCCTGGTCAGACCACAGCTAGATTTCTGTATTCATTTCTGAGAACCATATTTTAGGAAGGACTTGATAAACCAAGTTAAATTCTAAAAATTGTGACTAATAAGTAAAAAAAAAATTATGCTAAATGAGGACCAGATGAAAGAACTAGGAACGATCAGGAGCAATGAGAGAAGTTGTAAAGAGGCAGATCTCAGTTTCATATTAAAGAAAAACTTCCTAACAATTGCTGTTTGCCCTTTGTTTTTGAAGAAGACCAATGACATTACATTAAAAAGGCCCACTTGCTTTTATGCCAGCAGTTATGTAATCACCAGAGCCAGTTTACAACCTTAGTTTGGACTCCACTTTCTCAAGATTTGCCGAGATCAGTGGTCCAGACTCTTTATATGGCATAGGTTGGGAAAGCAAGGCTAGCCACCTAACAATGAAGGCTCTTCCCTATTAAGGTGAGCCTAAAGGACACCCAGAACCAATCTCTCAATAGTGATTTTCATATATACATAAGGTCACTACGAGAAGGACTAGAAGAGTCTTTTTAATATGAGATGGATTTCTAGAAAAGGAGGCGAGGGCGGAACAGAAGAGGAAATTTAGAGAATATAAAAATAAATACCAATTTCTTAAAAAATTTAAAGAGTGGATATACCAAAAACTAAATGTAAAAAAAAGGTTTTTTTGGAGAGTAGACACATGATACACTCTTTGAAAAGGAGATTTTTCCAAATATAATCATGTAATCATGCATTCACATGGTGACTTAAGGTCTGCAAAGGTGCTTTGTATATATGTGCATATATGGATATATGGGTGTTCAAGGAGGACTAGCACCTCTGGTGTTAAGGCTTGTTAATCCCTTTTCAGGGCTACTTATCCACCTTTGGTGTCCACCTGCTACCCAACTCTCACCTGTGATTCCTAACTAAAAGAGCTGTGCAAAAGTAGGATAGGTTTGCCTCAAGAAATAATGGGTTTCCCATAACTGGAGTCTGTCATGATCACCTGTTATTACATAGGAGGTCCCTCTGCAGGTGTGGGTTGAGTTATATTCCTTTTTGAAGTCCCATAAAACACTTAGATTCTATAAAACCCAAAATGGATGTGGAAAACAGAAGTTTTCCTCAAACAAAAAGGAAAAAGAGTGAAAGTCAATTGGTGACAGAGAACAGTTAAGGTTTAGTGAGAAAAACTATCAATCTACACCTAAATGTTCAATTTTCTTTTCCATTTTACTCTTTATTGCATCTTTTAGTTCATATTTTTCTTATAGTGTTTAAATTAATATATTCAAGTATTAAAGTCATATTTTAGTAGGAAAATATAAATTACAGGATATTCCAGCTTCTCTTACCCCCACAGTTGGGGAAAAGTCAGCCTAAATAGGCATGCTTCGTGGCATCTTTTGTTGTTGTTCAGTCATTTCAGTCACATCCAACTCTTCATGATCCCAATGGGGTTTTCTTGGCAAAGATGCTGGAGTGGTTTTCCATTTCCTTCTCCAGCTCATTTTACAGATGAGGAACTGAGGCAAACAGAGTTAAGTGACTTGCCTAGGGTCACACAGCTAATAAAATATCTGAGGCCAGATGTGAATTCAGGAAGATGAGTCTTCCTGACCCCAAGCCTGGTGCTCTATCCACTGTGCTACCTAGATGGCCTTCATAGCAGCTACTAGAACTGCAAATACAATACTTAAGGGGAAAAACTGACCTCTATAGAGACAACATTGCATTTACAGACTCATTAAGAGAAAGCTAATGTTTTACACACATCATACATACACACACACGCGCACACACACATTTATCTGCTATACTAGGTTTTATGGAAAATGAAATATAGAGAAAGCAAGAAGAAAATAAAGAAAAACAGAAAAATGAGAGATGAACAATAGCAGAAGGTTAAAAGAGGGTCAACACTGGAGCCAGTATCTGGGGATGGTTCAGAGTACACCTGGGAAGGAGGTCCTTTTATGCTATGTAGGTTATGCTATAAGGTAAGAGTTATAAGAAGGTTCTCAGTTCCATCTAGCCTACAGTGGCCAGAGCAGCTGTGGTTGCTACAAGTAACTGAGTGCACACAATGGGACTCAGAATACATCAGCAAAGAACCTAACTATCTTTGACACCAATATGCCAGATTTCTTGTTCTGCACTATCTTTAGGAAGCCACTACAGTATGATATGTCAATAAATGAAGGTTGGGAAATTGTATACCCAGTATAGAAGCACACAAATTTCTATCTAATCTGACCTCATTGCTGATAATGGCTAAGGCAGAGGAACCAAAATTCACTGGGGGGAAACTCCAGGATGTCAAAATCTCATCAGACTTGTACCTGTTTTACGTCAAAAAGTTCTGTTGAGAGGGAGAGAGAGAACAACAACAATAACAAAAACAACAGGGAGGCGGCATAGGCATAGTGGTGACCTTCTTGGCAGGGGAAAATCCTATTCTTGCTGGCCACAGAGAATATGGTTAACATGACAGAGAGTTAGACTAATCTGACACTATGGAACACATTCTGCTGAAAAAGTGATACCAGTTTGCTAGACCATACCTACTACATTTGGGATTCCATGGCTGTGGATGAAAGGAATCTGGCAGCCCAGTGCCGGAGATAAAGTGAATCCTAGCATCCAAATGGCTACAGAAGATTTTTATTTGATTTGATTTTGCTG